GGAGAGCTGGTCATGTGTGACAAAAAAGACTGTCCCAAAGCATACCACCTCCTATGCCTTAACCTGACTCAGCCACCATATGGTAAGCTGGACCTTCAGGACCCTTTCCCATAGTCTTTGCCAACTGTGTGTAACTCAGAATATATTCCATGCCATGGAATAGGAAATGTTGAATAGAACAAACAATAGCAAAAAAATATGCTGGCAAAAAATCTTTCCCCTTATACATTTGGGATATCCTGTGGGCCATCAAGGATTGGTTTCTTGGATACCGTTCCCACAGGTGGGTCGTTGGTACCTATGGCATTGGGTTTTGGCCAGTAGCTCACATCCATCCTAAATACTACACCCATATCTGTGTTTGGTTGAAATTTGGAGTTGTAATCAATTGAATTCTATCTCCAATCAGAGAAGAAGGAACTTGGGTTTTTCACAGGTAATCAAGACAGGCACTAATTTGGGCACTTCTCCTCCCTCCCCTTCTTCCCGACTCAGGAAAGTGGGAGTGTCCATGGCATCAGTGCGATGAGTGCAGCAGTGCAGCTGTTTCCTTCTGTGAGTTCTGTCCACATTCATTTTGTAAAGATCATGAAAAGGGGGCCCTGGTTCCCTCCGCACTGGAAGGCCGCCTCTGCTGCTCAGAACACGACCCCATGTCTCCTGTGTCACCAGAATACTGGAGCAAGATAAAATGTAAATGGGAATCACAAGATCATGGAGAAGAAGTAAAAGAATAAATGTGTGGTGTCCCCTCCTTTCTATTTCAGTGAAAAAAGCAAATAGATCATGCATTTAAAAAGAAGAGACTGCTACAGTGCATACAGCCTTTGCCATCGGAACTGCCTTACTAAAGCGAAAGTGGGAAGCCAGTTCATGCAGGCAGAAGCAGTTGGTGGTTTCTGGTTTTGTTTTGTTTGGTTGGTTTAGGGATTCTTTTGTGGAGGGTTAAATTCTCTTGGTCTTTTCTTGCCTTTTATTGTGCTTCAATGCCATTGCAGCTTGAAAAAGAAAAGTTTTTGCTTTTAAAATAAGAACAAAGAGAAAAGAAAGTTTTGCTAATGAGATAAATTTAAAGTCTAAGATGTGTTCCTTGGTTGTATAAAGCAAAAGTAGCCATCATTCCTTTATTTATTTTCATTTTTAGGAATTTCAAGAAGTGTAGTTCAATAGTCTAATCAAGTGTATGTGTGTGTTTTAAGTAGGAATCTGAGAAAGCCCTCTAGGAAAGGGTATGATAAGCTTTATATACCTCTACTAAGCGGTAGGTAGACTCACTTCTCTTTCCCTTCAAAATGCTTTTCACAGGCTTAGAGAAGAGCTCTATGGAAGCAGGAAATCTGGCCTCTTGAAAACAATGCCTCGGTGGATTTTACCTCTGTGGTCTTAAATGAGGTGGGCTTTGTGCTATGGTAACTTTACGTAGAAAGGTATATAGTGTGTTTTTTTGGAGGAAGGAAAAAGAGGAATGTATGTGCTCACTGATTTTTGAAACGTTTTCCATTGACATGGATGGTTTGGGTTTGGATGAAGTGCGTTTCTGTGGATCTGAAGCATAGTTGGAATGGTCACTCCTCTTTTCCTGACACTGATAAAGGCAGCTAAAGGGGGATGAAGGCACAAACCAAAAGTTGGATCATATAAGCACCATTTTCTGTCCAATTTTAATGTGGACCCTGGTCTAAACTGGAGAGAAGTACAGGCATTTTATTTTTTGTCTCTGTTTTCCTCTCCTAATCAAACATTTCTTTTGTCAGCTGACCATTCAGTCATGTTTCCTGGTAAAAACCACACAAGTGAGTTTGAATTGTATTTGAATAGATGTTTTTGGGTGAGTTCCTAATTTGGTGGGTAAAAGTAGTAGGGGCATCCCCACGTTACATATAAATAATTTCTATTATCCAGTACTTTACATTGCTCCCATTGTGGGGAAGAACTGCTTTTACAGGATACATAAGAGCCACACAAACACACTTCATCTTAGGAAGCACTTGGAGAAAATGCCCAAGAAAGTCAGTGTTAGCAAAAATGGTTGACAGTGACGCTTGACTCATAAAGATGCAAGTATACCAAGATGTCTGCTCACGAAACTCACTTGCTTTTAATGCTTAGGAATATATATATTCCAGAATTCCTTGTATGAAATAATTAGTAATGTCAGACATTGTTGTAACACTGTACTAAGTAGAAGTCTAGGGTTAGCTTGAATGAACGTTAACTTTCTCTGTGAATTTTGACTGCTTACAGTTGCTGGTACCTGGTAGCATTTATTTTCCCTTAAGTACCTAGAAACCTTATGAAGGTAGGGAGGGTAGGTGCTCCACCACATTCCTTCAGCGGTATTCTATTTGCTTATCAACTTAAGAGCTCTTCTATGGAAAGAGGGAAAAAAGCTGTTTTGTGCCTCTTTTTTTGTATGTAAATGTGCAATTATACTGGATTTTCTCTTGTAAAAAACAACACTACATTCTTTTACTGAAGCTCCTAAACTGCCATTTGCCTAACTCCAGCAATTAATTCTACGGTGACTCACTGGGCTTCCAATACTTCTGTTGATTAGATATGGTCCCAAAAGAAAGAGCAAACTGGAAAATGCAATCCATGTCACCAAATATAATTGCTACAAGTAACATGAAATACAGCTCACCAAAACACTAAACGTTGCTTTTGAGCAATTATATAGTTGGATGTCCTTTTAAAAAATAATTTAAGAAAAGCTAGGTTTTATCATACTAAAATTTTATTTTGTATATGATGTTTGGTTTTTTAAACTTACTAACAACATAAGGATTTCCTTTAATATTCCAAATACAGTTCTTGTTGAAACAGTATCCAACATGAAATCTTATCTCCTTGCTTTTAGACTTAATGCTATTTACTATCTAATGACTTTTATATGGTAAGCCAGGGTACATCCTATATACTAAGATACCTTAGGTTTCAGTATTTTTATGCAGCTTCTTCATTGTGTCACATTTTATTTTCATATCTGTAACACAGCTCTGCTGAAATTTTTAAAAATTTTTTTTATGATTAATAGGATTGTTTCACCATTTCAGAAGTCAGAGTAGAAAACAAAATAGCTGTTGGGCATGGTGGCTCGTGCCTGTAATCCCAGAACTTTTGGGAGGCCGAGGCGGGCAGATCACAAGGTCAGGAGTTTGAGACCAGCCTGGACAATATGGTGAAACCCCGTCTCTACTAAAAATACAAAAATTAGCTGGCATGGTGGCACAAGCCTGTAATCCCAGCTACTCGGGAGGCTGAGCCAGAAGAATCGCTTGAACCCAGGAGGCAGAGTTTGTAGTAAACCAAGATCAGCCATGCCCCACTGCACTCCAACCTGGGCAACAGAGCAAGACTCTGTCTTAAAAAAAAAAAAAAAAAAAAAAACATAGTTCTGAAGTCTTTGGCCATGAGTGTTCTTTAATGGTCTAAAAAGTGGTTTTAGTCATGCCAGTACCAAGGAGCTCTCCTCACATCTCCGTAGCGTGAATGTTGACCTGTTTGGTATATTTTTAAGTTGCAGATTATAGATGCAGAAAGATAAAATTGTCCTTTATGTGTGCTTGAGTATACATGCACTGCGCCCATGCTACACCAATGAAATAGTCCAAAAGACATATTGCTCACTCATTGTCTAAAGTTGGTATTTGTTAACTTTTAAATCTGTATGTGGTCAAGGTGTAAGTAGTTGGTTTTTATTCTTGTCCAACAATGAAATAACTTAAAGCAGCATGGGCTAATGGTAGATTTTTTAAACATGTTAATTCATTGAAAGAAGTGAACATAAGATTTTTGATAATCAGCCTAAAGCTTCAGAAACTGGATCAGTAAGAGCTAAAGATGAAGTCCTGGGAAACCTTCCCAGGCACTGTGCAGGGGAGGGAGTGGCTGGACCACCACTGCTGCTAGGGAGGAATCAGAAGAGCTGCCCATGGCTGGCTGGGAAGGGCAGGGTGGATGGCCCTTCATTCCTGGAAGGCTGAAGCAGCCAGAGGCAGTGATTCACTTCTTTAATGTCTAATCAGGGACAGAGATAGGAGTGAGGTAGGTTTATTTTCATTTTTGCCACTCTAAATTCTCAAAAATGATCTGCCCTAATCTATAGAACTGGTTGAGTTTGGGAATCATTTAAAATTTGGAATTTTCTGTATGTTCAATTCAGGAACATATCTGAAAACTAAAAAAGCAATGGAGGTGGATGGGCTGCTCCCAGCTCCCTTCTGCCATTTACACAAAATATTTGAAAACATGTCTGTAAATAATGTTTTAGAATTGAGATATTGAGTATCTAATCATGTAAAGGACCCTCAGATAAGACAGGCTGTTGGACAACTTTCCTAGTTCATGAAGTGGAATTTCCTTTTTGAGTAGTTTCTTGCATGGTATATTCCAGTAGGTCAAACCCAGACCTACAGTTTGCAGACAGGCCATCTGTAGAGAATATAATCTCTGGACTGCCCAGGACTTGTTGCTTGTTTTTCATTTCATTTTTAAATACAAAGCTCTTCCTTTAGCATTCAGCTTAAAGTCAAGGTGCTGGCTGCTACATGCCATGTCCTCTAACAGGATAAGAAAACAAGTTACTATGGAGCCCTCACGGCTTGGGAAGCTTACATTTGATGTACTTCCACATGAGATACAAGGACATTGGAAAGTTGCTTTATTTCTGGGCAGTGTAGACTAAAGTTACTTTTCATAAGGCTGAGGCATCCAGCCACCCCCCAATTGTCCAAGTTGGTGCAGACATGAATTGATCAAATGAAACACTTTCCTTTGGCCTAGGGCTACCTAGAATAATTGGTTTTTGGTTATTTGTAAAACAAAAAGTAGAACTTGCTTCCATTTTCAGATGGACTAGGGAGTAGTATAATTAGACAGCTTTGCAATGAAATTAACAAATACTGAAAAGTTGGAAATGTGTATATACTGAAATCTCACCAACTTTTACCTGGAGTGGGGTAACAGGAGAAAGGGGGGTTAAATAGGGTAAGTGGGGGGGATCATAATGTTTACCACAGGTACGAAGTAGTCACTTTAACATTGAGACCTCTGCCTCATTGAATTCAGGTTTTTTAAGTACTTGAAACTCTTCAGATTCTCCTTATTTTACAGTTTCTTTTTAAATTTATGAAGTAGAAAGCATTGTTTTGTAAACTGTTCTGAAAATAAATCGCCTAGTCTCTTATCCTCTTTAGTGTGGATTAAAGGCGAAGTTCTGCAAATGGGAGCGTGTTCACAGTAGATAGCTCAGATTGATTGAACACACTTGAGGAAGAGACTCCTGCATGAGATACCAGCATTTTTACGAATATTTCCTATGTATGTTATTTTGTCATTTTGTCACCCTGTCCCCAAGCACATCTTCTTTCCTTTTACTATGTCTATGTAGAGAAAAAAATTAAAAATTGCACTTAATGTCACACTCCCCAAATGTGGGTAATCTGTGTCTTTCAAAAACCATTTCTGTTTTTTGTTTTGTTTTGGTCAGTCCATTGCATAAGTGACAAGTGTGGGTGCTTGTGGCACGTATGTATGAAGGGGGGGATGAGAGTTACCTGTCCTTCAGTAGGCTGTAAAAGTAATTTATGTGTAAGTAAAAAGGGAAAATAGAACAGATGCCAAAGTCCTTTTTTCAGTCCTTAGTTTTCTTATGTGGCATTATTGCATCTGCTAGTTACTGAGAAAGCACCCTCAGCTTTTACTGCTCCCTTCCCTGCCTGCCAACACAGTTGATATGTGCAAATAGCCCTCAAGTATCTGTCAGATTACCTATATAAGGTATTGATAAGGTATTCTTGTCAGTTTAGAAATGGACTGGATAAAACTTTGTTGTCATTATTTTATCTCATTTGTCCTGTTACATACCCTATGTTAAGAAAATTATATTGCCACTAATAAGATGCTAAATGAGTATTACAACTGGCTAGTATCATTTTTTATATACAAGGGTGTGTGTATATTTGGAAATGATGAGAAATTCATTTGTACCCATTTGAGTGATATTGCACAACACACACAGATACCTACAGACTGTTTTCATTTTCTCGTGTTCTTTATGATAATCTTTGTAGATTATTTCTGTACTTTATCTGTAATAAACTTTGTAGATCCTGTGAACCGTTATTTTGCCTAAATCACTTGAGACTTGAGTCTTTAATAACAAAGCATCAATATTCACTAAAGTCAATCTCTTTTGAGTTTCTGTGACTTGGCTAGATGCTCTTGACACTAAGGGATTAGTGTTAATTTTCCCTGGGGTGTTCCACTAGGGCATTACTGTATAATGCCTTGATGTTGCCACATAGACTTCAAGATATATGATATTTTGAGGATTTTGTTGATTGGCCTATGTTTTATTGCATAGTGTGAAATGTGTAAAGCTTGGTTAACCTGTATATAGATAGCTTATTGTTGACTAGTTACAGTGTATTTAGGATTGCCTGTAATATTTAAGCTTCTTACTGATGTGTGTGCTGGTAGGAACATATAATTTTTGTACATTATATTTACTGAGATGTTGCCTTTTTTATTTTACAAATACTTTGGAATTCCAATGTGTTTTTTTTTTTTCCTTCCATGAGGATTAATTTGGAAAGGTTTTTAATGACATTCCACTGATTTCGGATTTTGCTTGAGATTGACTTCAATAAATTGTCCTGTATGTTCCAAATTAAATGTGGGCTTGTTCTTTGCCAGATAGTTTTGCTACAACTCACGGGACAGGAGGCCATCCTGGGTGGGAAGAGTAAATGACACAATCTAGCCAACCTCACTCAGTCAGTATAGCTTCCTGCAGAATGCCGCTGTGTTGCTAAGGAACGAGGCTGTAGGGTTTTACATTTAGAGGCGAAAGCCCGGGGGAAGGCTGCTCCCCGCGGTGGTGTGGAGAGGAGCTGCTCATCATGGCTGCAACTGGAACGCTGGCTCCCTGCTGAATGCACTGGAGGGCAGGTCCGTTGGCCTTACGTCCCCTTTGCCAGCCGATGCCCACTGCACAGCCGCCAGTCCGGCTTCCTGGGAGCCGCCAGAGCGCGGGCGGCCGGGAAAAGGGGGTGGTGCGTGGTTCCCCGCCCGGTCCTCCCCGCGGAGGCGGCCACGCCAGCGCGACGTCGTCAGGGTCTCGCGGCCGGATGGGGAAGGCGGCAGCGGCCTTTGGGGCCGAAGTGGGGGTGCGGCTCGCGCTGTTTTCGGCCTTCCTGTAAGATCCGCAGCCGGGCCCGAGCAGCCCCGCTTCCCAGGCGGGCAGGCGGCAGAGGGCGGTGGGCCGGACAGCGGAAGGGAAACCAGACGACCTGCTCTGCGCTTCTTTGTTCTCTAGGGTGACGGAGCTGCTCCCCCCGTTCCAGAGGCTTATCCAGCCGGAGGAGATGTGGCTTTATCGGAACCCCTACGTGGAGGCGGAGTATTTCCCCACCAAGCCGATGTTTGTGCGTGGACAAAAATCGACCCTCCTCCCTCCCCGTGACCGGGCTTCCCACGGGCACATGTCCTTTATCCACCCCGAGGCGGCCTGTGTAGCGACCCACTGCCCCCTCCGCTGCTGTGCGCCGGGTTCCGCCTCAGCCTGAGGTACCGGGCCGAGCACCACGGGCACTGCACTGGTGGTGCTGCCTGGCGCCCAGCTACCCCCCAGAGGAAGCATACTCAGAGACCTTGTGTTAGCACTAGTGAGTCCTGCTGTGTCATGTCCATCCCTTTTCCCTGTAGGAGCTGCTTTAAACACGAGTGTGGCTTTTTTTGGATTTTTTTAACCTCTGACATTCCAATTCAGGTTATTGCATTTCTCTCTCCACTGTCTCTGATCTTCCTGGCCAAATTTCTCAAGAAGGCAGACACAAGAGACAGCAGACAAGCCTGCCTGGGTGAGCACCAGCCCTTTGCAGCCGGTTTCTTCGTGCTGGAAACCTAAGAAGTCTTTGTGGGGTTCAGCCACCGGAAGCCTGTGTGGAGACCACACAGTTCTGAATTCCTAAAGGAACTCTATCCCCGCAGGAGAAGCAAATAGCACTGCAGGGACTTGGCTACGCAGGCTACACCGCAGGCATCCCTGTGCCTAATGCACTGGGTTATTTGTACCTCAGAAATGTCTTTGGCCTAGTATAGAAGTTCTCCGCTACAACAGAGTGATCACTGAGGACCATAATTAATTTTGTGCCCAGGCCTGGATTCTGTCCATCTCAGAAACAGCATGGCTGCTCGCTCAATGAGGCCATGACCATGCCTTTCTTCCTAGACAGACCCCACTAACTAGTTGCTTTGCTTTGCAGCAGCCAGCCTTGCCCTGGCTCTGAATGGCGTCTTTACCAACACAATAAAACTGATCGTAGGGAGGTAAGTGACAAGAGCCAACCACCCCAGCATCTGCCTCAGCCGTTACCCACCAGGACAGAGAGGTAATGGTGTCCACCACAAGTCTGTCTTTATCCTTTTCCCCTTTATCTTCACTCTGCTTTCTTTTCTCATTCAATGCTTACTCCCTTCCCAGTACCTCAGTCCTCGAGGTGACACTTGGGCTCTTTTCTGCCCTGAACAGCATTTCCCAACAGCCACAGCAGAGTGGGTCAGTGACCTCTTGAGCATCTCCTGAAGCTGCAGTGTCATTGGCTGTTTGCCCTAAAAAGTAATCATGGGCTGGAGTGGGGCTTATTCTCCTGACTTAACTGCTGACCTTGGAAGCAAGGCTTTTCTCTCAGCGGTGACTATACTAATCCAGTTACCTTATTTTGGCTGGGGCATTATTTGACCAGTAATTCACAGGATTATTAATGTCTGCTACAACTGAAAAATAATTTCTGGAGTTAGTGATTTACATTCCAACCATGCTTCTTTCTTCCAGGCCACGCCCAGATTTCTTCTACCGCTGCTTCCCTGATGGGCTAGCCCATTCTGACTTGATGTGTACAGGGGATAAGGACGTGGTGAATGAGGGCCGAAAGAGCTTCCCTAGTGGACATTCTTCCTGTATGACCATCATATGCACTCTACCCCTATGCTTGTTTTCACGTCACTGAATTTAACTTAGAACGTTAGTAGGGATTGGAAAATCTGACTACTCTTGTTGTTTCTAGAATTTGGAAAATCTCCCTTCTTTAGTAACTCCACAGTTTAACATAAAGTCTGAGCCTTGACTATTATAAATGAGGAAACTAAGGCATCAACAAGTTAATTCAGATAGCCAGTATTCCAAAAACTATTCTCAGATAAAACATTAACTTCGGCACACTGAATCCTTTATTTTTCTTTTTGTTTCCTTTTCCTTCACAATGATTTACACTAGACATATACACAAAAAAGGATTAAAACATGCTCATGGCCAGACGTAGTGGCTCAGGCCTGTAATCCCAGCAATTGGGAGGCCAAGGCATGCAGATCACTTGAGGCCAGGAGTTCAAGACCAGCCTGGCCAACATGGTGAAATTCTGTCTCTACTAAAAGTATAAAAATTAGGCCGGGCACAGTGACTCATGCCTGTAATCCCAGCACTTTGGGAGGCTGAGGCGGGTGGATCATGAGGTCAGGAGATCAAGACCATCCTGGATAACACAGTGAAACCTCATCTCTACTAAAAACAAAAAATTAGGCTTGGTGGTGGGCACCTGTAGTCCCAGCTACTCAGGAGGCTGAGGCAGGAGAATCGCTTGAGCCCAGATGATGGAGGATGCAGTGAGCTGAGATGGTTCTACTGCACTGCAACCTGGGTGACAGAGCAAGACTCTGTCTCTAAAAATAAAAATATGCTCATGCTCCCTAGCCTCCTATGTGGAGATGAATGAGGTAGCTTCCTTTAAAAGATACACACTTAAAAGTTTTTCTTATTCTAGTTGCATTTGCTGGTCTGGCCTTTGCTTCCTTCTACCTGGCAGGGAAGTTACACTGCTTCACACCACAAGGCCGTGGGAAATCTTGGAGGTTCTGTGCCTTTCTGTCACCTCTACTTTTTGCAGCTGTGATTGCACTGTCCCGCACCTGTGACTACAAGCATCACTGGCAAGGTAAGCAAAGCATTCATGCCATGGAAGCGTGCATATTTCATTCATTTTATTCCCAGAACCTAGCACAGAGGAGATGCTTACTAAATGTCTGCTGAATAAACAAATTAATGAGTATGGAATGGTCTGGGTTCTGTACTAAGAATATGCTTTCAAAATTGTAGGAAGAATGAGAAAAAAAGTTTACCAAAGATAAATGTCCTAATTTTTCCATTATTTGAAGCACTGTAAGTTCAAGTTGAACTGAATCTATAGGAAATTTAAAACCTCAAGGTTCAGTTTACTCTCTTAAAAATCAGGTTCGCTGGGCGCAGTAATTCATGCCTGTAATCCTAGCACTTTGGGAGGCCGAGTTGGGTAGATCAGCTGAGGTCGGGAGTTTGAGACCAGCCTGAGCAACATAGTGAAACTCCATCTCTACTGAAAATACAAAATTAGCCAGCATGGTGGTACGTGCCTGTAATCCCAGCTACTTGGGAGGCTGAGGCTGGAGAATAGCTTGAACCTGGAGGTGGAGGTTGCAGGATGAGCCAAGATCACACCAATGCACTCCAGCCTGGGCAAAAAGAGTGAAACTCTGTCTCAAAAAAAAAAAAATCAGGTTCATTGTCAAAGGACGTTTGTTCAGAAACAAGTAAAATTCAAGAAAACATATAATTAAACAAATTTAAGCTGAATACTATAGTAAGTAAAATATCCAATTTATAGAATACCTGGCTGGATGTGGTGGCTCACACCTGTAATTCCAGCACTTTGGGAGGCCCAGGCAGGAAGATCACCTGAAGTCAGGAGTTCAAGACCAGCCTGGCCAACAGAGTAAAATCCCATCTCTACTAAAAATACATTAGTTGAGGCCAGGTGCAGTGGCTCATGCCTGTAATCCCAGCACTCTGGGAGGCCAAGGTGGGTGGATCACCTGAGGTCAGGAGTTCAAGACCAGCCTGACCAACAGAGTGAAACCCTATCTCTACTAAAAATACAAAATTAGCTAGGCGTGTTGGCACATGTCTATAATTCAAGCTACTTAGGAGGCTGAGGCAGAAGAATCACTTGAACCTGGGAAGTGGAGGTTGCAGTGAGCTGAGATCACGCCACTGCACTCCAGTCTGGGCAATAAGAGCAAAACTCTGTCTCAAAAATAAATAAATAAAAATACAAATAGAAAAATCAGCCAGACATGGTGGCACATGCCTGTAGTCCCAGCTACTCAGGAGGCTGAGGCAGAAGAATCCCTTGAACCTGAGAGGTGGAGGTTGCAGTGAGCTGAGATCATGCCACTGTACTCCAGCCCAAATGACTGAGACCGTACCTTTAAAAAATATATGTATATAGAATACCTTCAAAGCCACAATTCCAAAAAAACATTGATAGTATTGCCCACAGATCTTCAGGAACCATATTTTAAATAAACTAGTTTTTTTGCAAAGAGAAGCAACTCTTTTTTTTTTTTTTTTTTTTTTTGAGACAGAGTTTCGTTCGTTACCCAGGCTGGAATGCCATGGCGCTATCTCGGCTCACCGCAACCTCCGCCTCCTGGGTTTAGGCAATTCTCCTGTCTCAGCATCCTGAGTAGCTGGGATTACAGGCACGCGCCACCATGCCCAGCTAATTTTTTGTATTTGTAGTAGAGACGGGGTTTCACCATGTTGACCAGGATGGTCTCGATCTCTTGACCTCGTGATCCACCCGCCTCGGCCTCCCAAAGTGCTGGGATTACAGGCGTGAGCCACTGCGCCCAGCAAGAAGCAACTCTTAAAAAGACTGTATTCTTTCCTCTAGGACCCTTTAAATGGTGAAGATGGGTAGATGAATAGCATTAAGTGGACTTTTATTATTATTCTGAGTTAAAAAAAATTATAATTTAATACGCTCTGAACAAGCTTATTGTATTTTCTTAAGATTTTGAAGGGCCAGGTGCCATGGCTCACATCTGTAATCCCAGCACTTTGGGAGGCCAAGGCAGGTAGATCACAAGGTCAAGAGATCGAGACCAACCTGGCCAACATGGTGAAACCCCATCTCTACTAAAAATACAAAAATTAGCTGGGTGTCGTGGCTCGTACCTGTAGTCCCAGCTACTTGGAAGCGTGAGGTAGGAGAATCACTTGAACCCAGAAAGCAGAGGTTGCAGTGAGCTGAGATCACACCACTGCACACCAGCCTGATGAAAGAGAGAAACTCCGTCTTAAAAAAAAAAAAAAAAAGATGTGTTTTCATTTGGTGTTCAGAGAGCAACCTGACAATGATAATCCTGTAACTATGATAAAATTGAGAAAGCCTAACGAAACCATAAATCTGTAATTGAGACTTTAGCCCCATAGTAAAGTATCCTGGAGGGACAGGTCCTCTATGCTATACACTAAAAGGATTTAAGAGCCTAATATTAAGAGAAGACCTTGTTTCTCCTCTCTTCAGATGTACTCGTTGGCTCCATGATTGGAATGACATTTGCCTATGTCTGCTACCGGCAGTATTATCCTCCTCTGACTGATGCAGAATGCCATAAACCATTTCAGGACAAACTTGCACTTTCTACTGCACTGAAGCAGCCTGGGGATTCTTATTGTTTTGATATCTAAAAATTGAATCTGGCCGGGCACAGTGACTCACGCCTATAATCCCAGCACTTCTTTGGGAGGCCTAGAAGGATGGATCACCTGAGGTCAGGAGTTCGGGACCAGCCTGGCCAACATGATGAAACCATGTCTCTACTAAAAGTACAAAAATTACCCAGGAGTGGTGGTACACCTGTAACTCCCAGCTACTTGAGAGGCTGAGGTGGGAGATTTGCATGAACCTGGGAGGCAGAGGCTGCAGTGAGCCGCACTACACTCCAGCCTAGGCAACAGAGTGACCCCATCTCAAAAAAAAAAAAATGAATTTACCTCCATGAAGAACAGGTGAACTAGCCCTCCAAACTGGACGATGCACAAGACAAAAAATTATGGCCTTTTTTTCCCCTTCCAAGGTACAAGTGAGGACATAAGCCACACTATATTCTGCCTTCAAATGATTACGCACTTTTGCCCCTGCTCACACAGCTCTAGGAGTCACAGCTCTTGTCAACTACTATATGCCACATATTCTAGTAAAGGGATATTTCTTTTTTTTTGAGTTGGAGTTTCACTTGTTAACCAGGCTGGAGTACAATGGTGCGATCTCGGCTCACCGCAACCTCCGCCTCCTGAGTTCAAGCAATTCTCCTGCCTCAACCTCCCGAGTAGCTGGGATTACAGGCGCACGCCACCATGCCCGGCTAATTTTTGTATTTTTAGTAGAGACGGGGTTTCACCTTGTTGACCAGAATGGTCTTGATCTCTTGACCTCGTGATCCACCCGCCTCGGCCTCCCAAAGTGCTGGGATTATAGGCGTGAGTTACCACGCCCAGCCAGTAAAGGGATATTTCAAAGGTATCTAACAGCTTATGAATCTGGTCTATCAGATTGATATCCAAAGATCTACATAGTTTTAAATTTAATTTCCATTTTGTAAAGCTCAAAATCTTAAAATCTAAGGCATGACCAACTAAATTACTTTGATTCTGTTTATCTTCTCTGATGACAATTCCATCAAGCGTTAAATAGGAAAATGTCAAATCTGGGGTAATTTATCACTTCTGTGTGTATCTTGTTGGAGTCCAGCCATCTGGTACTGCTGCACATTTTGAACACCATGGGCATAAACAGTGTGTTGAATTATGAAGTAAACACCATGATAAAGAAGAAAATGGTCAGGAGTATGGTTTCAGTACTAACAGATGATTGTTTCTACCTCATTTGACCATAACTGTGCTCATGAGCTTCTCTCCTTCCATTCATAAATGAAGATGTGCTCAAATGCACCAACACTGCCAAGTGACAAAGAAAAGAAAAATTAAGGCCAGGCGTGGTGGCTCATGCCTGTGATCCCAGCACTTTGGGAGGCCGAGGCGGGTGGATCACGAGGTCAAGAGATCAAGACCATCCTGGTCAACATGGTGAAACCCCGTCTCTACTATAAATACAAAAAATTAGCTGGGCATGGTGATACGTGCCTGTAATCCCAGCTACTCAGGAGCCTGAGGCAGGAGAATTGCCTGAACCCAGGAGGCAGAGGTTGCGGTGAGCCAAGATCACACCATTGCACTCCAGCCTGGGTAACAAGAGTGAAACTCCATCTCAAAAAAAAGAAAAGAAGAATTACAGACATCACCACCTGAAGGACAGATGAATTTTTTTCTGCCTCTTCTTCACAATGGGATATAAGGAACAATTACAGTGTGTCATCAGAACTGATGCCTACAGCTCTCTTTATCATGATTATACTTTAAATATGACCTTGTCTTTTATCTGTATCTTCCTATATTTTCAATATATCTTTTTCCTTCAGTAAACCTGATATTCAAATAAAATGGTAAATTTGTGCTTTTTTTAATATTTAAAGTACCATTAAGGGGCTGGAACTTTAATAAAGCAAAATACTGAATTCCCCATCCACCATAAGTGATTCAAATGCTGTTACCTATGGTACTGGCTAATATTTATAAATACCAAAGAAAAGTATCCATATTTATCTTATAATTGCCATGCTTTAACTTCTGAACTACATCTGCCTATGACAATGAAAACACTAATCAAGGGGAAAGAACTTACATGTTAGTTCTTTGTCTAAAACTTTATTTTTTTTGTTTTAGTAATACATAAAGAAGGAAATCGTTGATTTTTCTATATTGATTTTCTTTACTTTGTGACAGATGAGTCCAGGTAAAAGTAGGCAACTAGTCAATATGGTTTGATTTCGGTATTTACTAAAGTTTTAAATATAATCACATAAAAAAACAAACATTTCAAAAGTGAAAAATATTAAAAATCTAATCAGTGCTATTAATCTTTCCATGCAAACAATCTCTTTTGCTGAGATAAGTGATACTAATTCTGCAGCTGGGAATATGTACAAAATGATGCTGTACCAGAGTTTAAAAATAGGCTTGGTCTACAGATTGCACATGATACAAAGGAAAGCAGTGCAAATAATATATGACTAAATACAGGATTTCAATCAAGCTTATTATCCTGGGAATATACAGATATAATACCATGAATAGACAAGATATAAAGCTCTTTCACAGTTACCCACCCTCTCACCACTAGGAAAGAAACATTTCTTAATACAAAGAGTGGTTTATCTGGCTATCCAGGGCTATGTTTTCCATCTTTGGTTACAGGGACTCACTCTTGCTTGTCCTTTGGTTTACTCTTAAATAGCACCTATTCTGCCAATAGGAAGAGAAAACATAAATTTGAAGACTGCAACTTGGCAAAAGCTTCCCCTTAATATACAGTGAATGCTTCTTAATTCTCAATAACTCAGAGTTTATATACTTTTTAAAAAATAAAGTATTCCATAAATCCGAAACTTAGTGGCCTACTTAGTATTAGGCCATAAGCACATGATAAGGAAAGGCCTGACATACACCCCAACCTTACCTCTACAATCTCCACAGCAATAGTAATTACCCTTCATTTTCCATTTTTCTCCAGAAAAGGAATAAAGACCACTGCTGTCTAAGGAATGGCTTCAATAAATATTAAATGCAGTGGCTTCAGATACCATAACATTTACAAAAAATTTTATAAACAATAAACCACAGCTGACCTGCCTTTGCCACTCTATAAACAGAGGCCTGTGGAATCTGAGAGCAAGTATAAAGGACTGTCATAAAGATAACTGCAAAGACAATGACAAACTCTGACCAGTGAAAAAGAAAAATCTACAGCAAAGTAGTGAAAAGATGCCTTGACAAAATTAGTGTGCAGTCACTTATGTTCTTAGAAGTAAACCCCACTTCCTATGTTCCAGACTTAGCTGACACTGACTCTGCAATAGCTATTTCTTGGACCCTACAGGCATAAGTTTTTCTTTCAGAATAAGTTAAACATTTCCCCCTAGCCAAACCTACCTGCTCAACCAATGCTGCCCATGCCAAGAGCCTTTTATTTTTATTTTTATTTATTTATTTATTTATTTTTAAAGAGACGGGGTTTCACTGTTGGTCAGGCTGGTCTCGAACCCCTGACGTTGTGATCCACCCACCTCGGCCTCCCAAAGTACTGGGATTACAGACATGAGCCACCACACCTGGCCTTGCCAAGAGCCTTTTATATATGCTTTGTGGATTATGGATACCCAAAAAGGAAAGAGGATACACAATACCACCTTTGCCCAAGTAGAAATGGCAAGTAGGGCCAGACGCGGTGGCTCACACCTGTAATCCCAGCACTTTGGGAGGCCAAGGCAGGTGGATAACCTGAGGTTGAGATCAGCCTGACCAACATGGAGAAACCCCGTCTCTACTAAAAATACAAAAAATTAGCTGGGCGTGGTGGTGCATGCCTGTAATCCCAGCTACTCGGAAGGCTAAGGCAGAAGAATCGCTTGAACCTGGGAGGCGGAGGTTGCAGTGAGCCGAGATCGCGCCATTGCACTCCAGCCTGGGCAACAAGAACAAAACTCCGTCTCAAAAATAAAAAAAAAAAGAAAGGGCAGGTGACAAATTGTTTCACCATAAAGGCAACACTGAGAGATTTATTTAGAACCTAAGCAGCCTGTAAAGGCTACATAATTTCAGGTTCATCAGCTTTTATAACTACTCTCAACATAACAATAGAAGCTATTATCAAATTACTTCTATCAAATATAAAAGGGAGGCCTACAATATATAACATCTTTGCTTTATAAAGATGCACTTAACATGAACTTGTCAACTTTAGACTCAAAGCAGCTCAAACAATTGCAAAAACAATGAACATCAGTAATTTCTAGCAATAAGTGTGTCAGTCAGTTCTGAGAGTAAACAATTCCTTAAAGCTACATCCTAGTCCTCCTTCATACAGTACACATAGGAAAGAAATGCTAGTTCAAAAATAAATCACTCAAAAGCCATTTTCCATATCGACTGAGACTTAGCCTTCAGTTCAAGACAAACAAGAGATGAGAGTACTCTAAAATGCCTTCTAAATCTCAAGAATCTGTTTCCAAACTAGAACATTTTCTAAAGATAAGCAATAGATTCCTTTAAAAAATGTCTACTTCACTCAAAACAAATCAAACCCAAAATAGGCTTTACATCAAGAACTAATCAATAAACTGTGGCACCTAATAAACTACCATCAAAGAATTAAAGATACAAACCACCCCCAGCTATAAAGAAAAGATGGCAAGTGTTTATATGAAGCCAATGGTTAAAAGTAGCAGGGTATTCCTTTTGCTTTTCCATTCATTTCCAAAGAAGAAGATTATCTTCCAAAGACCCCAGTGGTGAGTAAGTGGCAGGCAACATGCAGGAAATGACGCAGCTGAGGAGGGGAAAATTGCAGCAACAAACAGGTGGATTTTCTGGGGAAGGATCCCTCAATGTCCATCTAGGGAAGAGAGTGGGAGAAGAGCTGCAGTCACAACTGGAAGGCAACCACAGAGAATGCCAGAGTCAAATATACAGACTGTATAGTTTAACATCTAAAAAGCTGAGTAATTTATATCTCAGATGGGCAGTTTGTAATTAAAATCATAACTGTTGCCATGGTAATTCTTAATCAGAACCATTAAGATTCTGAGTTTAGATACTAAAAAATGACAGGTGTCATTGGACAAAATCTCTAGGAAAACAGACTTTTTCCCCCCATGAATTTCTACGAGTCCTTCTAAAAATGAATAGCAGCCTAGATCCTGGTGATAGGTAACAGTATATTTATAAACAGCCTGAGGCTCTATAGTTCGTTATAATCTGTTAACATGTAAGAATTACACTGCATACATGACATTTTAAAACTTACATTAAGCAGCCATAGATGGGTGACTTTTACTGTAAAGGCTGATCAAGGAAGATACCCTGGGTTTGGTAGATCTCTTTGAGGACCAGCAATACTGTATCTTCAGACTCCCTATAAAGAAAAAATTATATTGAGAAAAGGAACTAACATTTGTGCCAAATGTTTTACATATATTATTTAATCCATACAGCCATTTTGCAAGTTTTTTACTTCTCCAAAGAAATGAGATACCGAGGTAACGTAATTGGCAGTGGTTTGGAAGGTGACCTGGCAAAGAACTCTAGCATTAAGTCTAGTATTATAAAAAAACTAGTAAGAGAGGCTGGGTACAGTGGCTCATGCCTGTAATCCTAGCAATCTGGGAGGCTGAGGTGGGCAAATCACTAAAGGTCAGGAGTTTGAGCTAGCCTGGCCAACATGGTGAAACCTGTTTCCACTAAAAATACAAAAACTAGGGCCAGGCACGGTGGCTCACGATTGTAATCTCAGCACTTTGGGAGACCAAGGTGGGTGGATCACGAGGTCAGGAGTTCGAGAACAGTCTAGCCAGTATGGTGAAACCCCACCCCTACTAAAAATACAAAAATTAGCCAGGCATGGTGGTATGTAGGCCCAGCTATTCGGGAGGCAGAGGGGTGTAGTGAGCGAAGATCATGCCATTTCACTCCAGCCTGGGCAAGAGGGCAAAACTCCATCTCAAAAAAAAAAAAAAGAAAAAAAATAGCCAGGTGTGGTGGCAAGAGGTGAAGGTTGCAGTGAGCCAAGACTGCACCACCGCATTCCAGCCTGGGTGACAGAGTGAGACTCCATCTGAAAAAAAAAAAAAAAAAAAGCCAGAAAGTAACCAAGAACTATTCTTTTTCCACAGAAATAATTCTAGAGATACTACTGAAGAGTTATCCAGTTGGTCACCTTAATTTTTAAAATATTATGCACTTTTTGGAAAAGGTAATACAATCAATCATATTGTTCCAAATTCCAAAAACGTAAGAAAGAAATGAAGTCTCCCTCCCACCTTTGTTCCTGAACCACCACCAGTTCATCATCTGACAATCAATGTTATCAATTTCTCATGCATTTTCCAGGTTATTTTATGTATGCACAATTTCTTATATCTACAGTTTTAACAAAATTTGATTACCAAAGATAACATTCATGAGGGACTGTCTTAAGGATATAAGGCTCTAACATTCTTCTAAATCTGTGGTTCAACATTTATTGAGTCATGCATCCTTTTGAGAATCTAATGAAATTATGGATTTCTCCCCAGAAAGAATCACAATGTAACCACAACTATAAACCTATATTTCACTAGATTCATATACATCCCCCATCTCCCACAGACTCCATATACACCGACCCCAGCTTAAGAGATTCCTATATCAACAAGTGGGAATTAGCTCTATCAGATATTAAAATGGTACATAAATAAGCAGATGAATAAATAATAAAAGCTGAGAAACAGTCCCAATTATGAATAGAAACTTAATTAAGTTGCCAGGCACAGTGGCTCACACCTATAATCCTAGCACTCTGGGAGTCAAGGCAGGCAGATCACCTGAGGTCAGGAGTTCGAGACCAGCCTGGCCAACACAGTGAGACTCTATCTCTACTAAAAATACAAAAAATAGCTGGGCATGATGGCACACACCTATACTCCCAGCTACTCAAGAAGCTGAGGCAGAAGAATCACTTGAACCCAGGAAGAGGAGGTTGCAGTGAGCCTCGATCGTACTACTGCACTTCAGCCTGGGCAACAGAGTGAGACTCTGTCTCAAAAACAAAAAAAAAGAATTTAATTAAGTTATAACCTCAAATCTATTAATAGTGTTGAGACATGAAGGACCTGAATCTGTATCAAAGATTTATAGGTAAAAATGAGATGATAGGCCGGGCGCGGTGGCTCAAGCCTGTAATCCCAGCACTTTGGGAGGCAGAGACGGGTGGATCATGAGGTCAAGAGATCGAGACCATCCTGGTCAACATGGTGAAACCCCGTCTCTACTAAAAATACAAAAAATTAGCTGGGCAAGGTGGCGCATGCCTGTAATCCCAGCTACTCGGGAGGCTGAGACAGGAGAATTGCCTGAACCCAGGAGGCGGAGGTTGCGGTGAGCCGAGATCGCGCCATTGCACTCCAGCCTGGGTAACAAGAGCGAAACTCCATCTCAAAAAAAAAAAAGAAATGAGATGATAAATATTAGAATAGCCAGGCATGGTGTTGTATACCTGCAGTCTCAGCTACTCAGGAGGCCAATGTAAGAGGATTGCTTGAGCCCAGGAATTCAAGGGTCTAGGGCACTAAGATTATGCCTCTGAAAAGCCACTGCATTCCAGCCTAGGCAATATGGCAAAATCCTGCTTCTAAAATATATATATATATATGAATATATATACTTATATAAGTATTCTTTTATATACATATATATGTGTATGTATATATAAGTATATATATTCTTATATATGTATGTATATAAAAGAATACAGGCCAGGTGTGGTGGCTCACACCTATAATCCCAGCACTTTAGGAGGGCAAAGTCAGGTGTTCGACACCAGTCTGACCAACATGGAGAAACCCTGTCTCTACTAAAAATACAAAATTATCCAGGCATGGTGGCACATGCCTGTAATCCCAGCTACTCAGGAGGCTGAGGCAGAAAAATCGCCTGAACCCAAGAGACAGAGGTTGCAATGAGCCAAGATTACACCACTGCACTCCAGCCTAGGCAACAAGAATGAAACTCCGTCACCAAAATATACTGTGATGCCGGGTGCAGTGGCTCACACCTATAATCCCAGCATTTGGGAGGCCGAGACGGGTGGATCACTTGAGGTCAGGAGTTTGAGACCAGCCTGACCAACATGGTGATACCTTGTCTCTACTAAAAAGACAAAATTAGCCAGGTGTAGTGATGCACACCTGTAATCTCAGCTACTTGGGACGCTGAGGCAGGATAATCATTTGAACCCAGGAGGCAGAGGTTGCAGTGAGCCGAGATCACACCATTGCATTCCAGTCTAGGCAACAAGAGCAAAACTCCAACTCAAAAAAAAAAAAAAAGAAAGAAAGAAAGAAAATACTGTGTAAGAAATTTTTTTGGAAAGTAAGGAAGATCTAAGTATGACACAAATTCCAGAAACCAAAAAGCAAATGTCAAGAAATTTGATTACATAAAAATAAAAAATTTGACTCGCTGCAGTGGCTCATGCCTGCAATCCCAGCACTTTGGGAGGAAGGAGCGGGCGGATCACCTGAGGTCAGGAGTTTGAGACCAGTCTGACCAACATGGTGAAACCCTGTCTTTACTAAAAATATAAAAATTACAAAAAATAATAATAAATAAATAATAAAAATATAAAAATTAGCTGGGCATGGTGGTACATGCCTATAATCCTAGCTACTCAGGAAGCTGAGGCAGAGGAATCGCTTGAACCCTGGAGGCGAGGTTGCAGTGAGCCAAGATTCTGTCATTCCACTCCAGCCTGGGTGATGAACTAAGACTCCATCTCAAAAATAAAAATAAATAAAAATTTTTTACTCACCAAAAACCAACATAAGCAATATCAAAAGACAAAATGGGGAAAAGTTATCTGTAACTCATATTACAGACTATCAATACAAAAAAAGTCAACATTTCAATATAAAGGGGAGTAAGGAGTATAGATAACTCCCAGAAAAGGAAATAAAAATAGCCCTTAGTAAATGTTAAGATGTTCAACCTATTCTTAATAGGAATTTTAAAATGCACTGTGTGGTGGGCTACTGTGGCTCACACTTATAATCCCAGCACTTTGGGAGGCCAAAGTGGGAGAAACACTGGAGGCCATGAGTCTGAGAACAGCCTGTGCAACATAGCAAGACCTCATCTCCAATTTAAAAATTACAAAAGAAAAGTAAAACTGTAACTGTGCACAGTACATATAATGAAAACTATAAAACACTGCTGAGAGAACTTAGAGACCACCTACATAAACTGAAAAATACCATGTTCATGGACCAGAAGATTCAATATTATTAAAATGTTGATTCTCTAGAAATAAAATGCAATCTACGTTCATTTATAGATAAAATTGATCTTGATAAAGAGCAACCACAAAGTCGCAGCAAACATCTTCGTAGAAATTAAGAAGCTGATTCTAAACCATATGTGGAAATACAACAGACCTACAATAGCCAAAATAACTTTGAATAAGAACAAAATTGGGAGTCTCGTGCTACCTGATTTTGAGACTTATAAAACTACCTTAAGTGTTTTCCTGGCATCAAGACAAAGAGATGCCAGGATGTCAAATAGTCCAGAATAAAGTCCAGAAACAGAAACACATATATAAGGTCAATTGATTTTTACCATGGTATCAAGGCAATTCAATAGTTACTTCATCTGGATAAACATTTCAACAAATGCTGCTAGAATAGCTGGATAGCCATATGTAAAAATTAGCTTCCAGCCTGGGTGATTATAGATGAGTGAGACTCTCTCTCAAAAAAAAAATGTTGATGTGGAGCAACTGGAACTCTCAAACATTGCTGATGGAGATGTAATCTGCTGGTGACAAAACAGTTCAGCATTTTCTTTTAAAGATACATTTCCATATGGCATCCACCCATTCTGTTCCTAAGTATTTACCCAAGTGAAATTAAAGAATATGTCCACGCAAAGTCTTATACATGAATGTTCCTGGCAGCTTTGTTCGTTAATAGCCAAAACTGGAAACTATCCAAATATCCATCAACAGGTGAATGGATAAACTGTGATATATCCATATAAAGGAATACTACTCAGCAATAAAAAGGAACAAACTATTGATATACACAACATGAATGAATCTCAAAATAATTATGTTATTTTGAGATCACATCTATAATCCCAACAGCTTGGGAGGCCAAAGCAAGAGGAATGCCTGAAGCCAGGAGTTTGACACCAATGGGGGCAACATAGTGAGACACCATCTCTACAAAAACAAATTAAAAACAAAAATTAGGCAGGCCCAGTGGCACATGCCTGCAGTCCCAGCTATTCAGGAGGTTGGGATGGGAGGATCCCTTGAGCCCAGAGATCTAGGCAACAGTGAGCTATGATTGTGTCACTGCACTCCAGCCTAGATGACAGAACAAGACTCTGTCTCAAAAAAAAAAAAAATATACACACACACACACACACACACACACAAACACAAACACACACTGTATGATTCCAAATACAAGTCATAAGCAAACACATCTATAGTGACAGAACAGACCAGTGGCTCCCTGGAAATTAGGAAGAGCGGTGAAAAGAAAAGGGAGGGATTACAAAGAAACAAGAAAACTTGTTAGAGTGAAGAATATGTTCATTAAGTTGATTGTGGTGATGGCTTCACAGGTATATGCATGTCAAAACTCATCAAATGTGTATTATTTAAATATGTGGAGTATAATGTAGATTTTTGACCCAACAAATTGGCAAAGATTTAAAATTAACACACAAGGTGTGTGTAAAGGAAAAGGAAACTTCAAAGTCCACAAGTAGAGAACTGGATACATAAATTATGGTGTATTTAGACAATGGAAGACTATGCAGATAAAAAAATGGGAAACTACATATAAGGGTTAAAAAATGCCAATGTATACTAGTAGAAAAAACAAGGCACAGTACATTGCCTTTAATATGATACTATCTATATTTTTAAAAGAAGGGAAAGAATATATTCACACACATATATTTATTATGGAGGCATAAAATAGATGGCTGGAAGATATCTTACATTAGTTGTATATGGGGAAGAAACTAGTTCGCAAGGAACAAAATAAAAAAGAGGCTTTTCATTATCTTTATTTGAATTTCAAACCATATAAATGTACTGCCCACACAGAAATATTAAAAGAACTCTTCTATCAAGCCCGATCAGCAAAGATCATTCTTAGCATTATTTTAGCCCCTTACAAGATTGCTTTTAATGAACTGCACTTTGATTTTATGTCATGGCCTCTATTGTATTTATTATATACAAATGATAGTGATTACATCAGATGATAATTCCTTATCAGAATTCAAAAGAAAAATTATTAGGACCCTTGAGCTTTCTCTTTTTTTGAGACAGAGTCTCTCTCAGTCACCCAGGCTGGAGTCCAGTGGCGCAATCTCACCTCACTGCACCTCTGCCTCCTGGGTTCAAACAATTGTCCTGTCTCAGTCTCCCTAGTAGCTGGGTCTACAGGCAAGCACCACCACACCCAGCTAACTGTACGTTTAGTAGAGATGGGATTTCGCCACGTTGGCTAGGCTGGTCTGAGCTTTCATTTTAAAACACTTACCTCTGACCCATCCTATTTTCCTTGCTTTATTTTTCTTTATGTTTTTCTTAATTCTTTAGTAATTAATTGGTATTCTTTTATACTATTTGTTTTTTCAGACATGGTCTCACTCTGTCACTCAGGCTCATTACTCACTGCAGCCTTTAATACCTGGCCTCAAGCAATCATCCTTCCTCGGCCTCCCAAAGTGCTGGGATGATAGGCATGAGCCATCATACCTGGCCTGAATTTCAGTAAGTGTCTTTAACCCATTCCACAATCCATCAGGTAACCAATTATATTTAATAATTATTCTGGCTGGGCACGGTGGCTCACGCCTGTAATCCCAGCACTTCGCGACACTGAAGTGGGCAGATCACAAGGTCAGGAGTTTGAGACCAGCCTGACCAACATGGTGAAACCCTGTCTCTACTAAAAATACAAAAATTAGCCGGGTGTGGTGGCACGCACCTGTAGTCCCAGGTTCTCGGGAGGCTGAGACAAGAAGAATTGCTTGTACCCAGAGATGGAGGTTGCAGTTAACCAAGATCGTGCCACTGCACTCCAGCCTGGGCAACAAGAGCAAAACTCCCTCTCAAGTAATAATAATAATAATAATAATAATTCTGTCCAGGCATGGTGGCTCATGCCTGTAATTCCAGCACTTTGGAAGGCCAGGGCAGGTTGATTGCTTGATGTCTGAGACCAGCCTGGCCAACATGGAGAAACCCTGTCTCTACAAAAATTAACAAAAATTGGCCAGGTGTGGTGGCTCATGCCTGTAATCCCAGCACTTTGGGAGGCCAAGATGAGGGGATCACAAAGTCAAGAGACTGAAATCATCCTGGCCAACACAGTGAAACCCCATCTCTACTAAAAATACAAAAATTAGCCGGGCATCATAGTGGACACCTGTAATCCCAGCTACTAGGGAGGCTGTGGCAGGAAAGTCACTTGAACCTGGGAAGTGGAGGTTGCAGTGAGCTGAGATCGCGCCACTGCACTCCAGCCTGGCAACAGAGCAAGACTCCGTCTCAAAAAAAAAAAAAAAAATTACAAAAATTAGCTGGGCATAGTGGTGCACAACTGCCATCCTACTAACTAGGGAGAGACTGAGTTGGGAGGATCACTTGAGCCCAGGAGGTCAGGGCTGCAGTGAACCATGAGCATGCCACTGCCTTCCAGCCTGGGTGATACAGCAAGACCCTGACTCAAATAATGATACAATAATAATAATTCTGATCTAGCTACCATAAATGCTTTCAAATGGGGTCGCTTTAATACTTCCAACAACAGTAATGGTCCTTGTTCCAGTTCACTCATATGTACCTAAATGGCCGAAAGACACATTTTTAACACCAAGCTAACTAAACTTATGGTTGTTGGCATCATTAGCCTCATCCATGTTCTACCCAGCTGCAAAATAAAACAACGGTGTGTTTAAACTAGATTCTTGAAATGGCATGATTGTGCTGTCTAAAATGAGAAGTAATTTTAATCCCAAAGGTACACAGGTCTATCCTTTTTTTTTTTTTTTTTTGAGACAGGGTCTTGCTCTGTCACCCAGGCTAGGGTGCAGTGGTGTGATCATAGCTCACTGCAGCCTCGAGCTCCTGGGCTCAAATAAGCCTCCTGCCTCAGCCTCCTGAGTAGCTGGGACTACAGGCGCATACCACCATGCCCCGCTACTTTGTTTTTTGTAGAGATAAGGTCTTGCTATGTTGCCCAGGCTGGTCTCGAACTCCTGAACTCAACCAGTCCTCCACCTTGGCCTCCCAAAGTGCTGAAATTGCAAGCCTGACCCAGCCAACATCTATCCTCCTTTTTCTACATCTATCAAATATCTATGAAACAGATAAACAAAACAGAAACAAAAATAAACAACACTTACCAGTAGCACAGATGGCTTTGTAAAGCAAATAAATACTCATTAAAACTTTCAATAGGCTTCTCCTGTAGCACATAGTCAATGCGTTGGCCTCCATTTAGCATCCCCACATTGATAGGCAGGACTTCTTCTTTAACTACCACAGAGGTCTCTTCTGTGTTAACATCTGGATATGGAAAAACCATAGTAAGAATCTAAAACCTTTTGGCCTTCAGGGTTATCCTGTTAAGTTCTCCTCACACTCCAAGTTTACTGCAGAATCAGCTACTTTCCGTTCAGATAGCGCTCTCCCATCTTCCTCCTCTCAATCTCCTTAAAGCTCCTTCTCAGGTCACACTAATTTTGTCCAATCCTCTTTTTTGCTTTTGCTCAACACATCTCATTACTGTACCTTTTATAGCTAGGTCATCTGCCTTGGGTTTATACTAAATGAAAGCAGGGATAGAGCTCTTTGAAGTTGAAAATTAAAGCAAAAGAATGTGATTTTAACTGTGAAATTAACTATGAAAAATGCCACACCATGGCATCCCTCTTATCTGGCAGCTGGTCAGTGTGTACAGTGTCACTGACCACTAGACTTCTCTGAAGTTGATTCAGGTTCTGCTTCAGTTTCTTCTGCAGTTTCTGAAGCTTGTAAGGCAGGGTATGGAGCTCTGGTAAAAGACTTCCAGGCCATCCGCAGCGAACCTAGCAAGTTGTTCTTAAGGTCCATACTCATCCTGGTCAAGCCCTCTCTCAGTTCTGAAACACATAAAGAACATTAAATGATTTACAAAGAGTTTAGGGTCCAGCACAGCTGAACAGAGTGAATGACGCCCTTTGCACTGGCCAAAAGGTCTAGAATTATCAAGTTCTATGCTCAGGCTTACCTAAGTGCATCCGCTTCCTGCCTTTATGATGTGGGATCAGCATTGGATCAAATTCCACTCCTGGGACTACCATTGGTTCAATCCTATAGGCCACAGGATCAAACTACATAGAAAAAACAAGAGCTACATTTACCTCTGCTGAACACAGAAAATCTGGAAACTATATAATCTTTTTTTTTTTTTTTCTCGCTCTGTCACCCAGGCTGAAGTGCAGTGGTAAAACCATGGCTCACTACAACCTTCAACTCCTGGGCTCAAGCAATCCTCCTGCCTCGGCCTCCCAAAGTGCTAGGATTATAAGTATCTGGTTGTGCCACCATGCGCAACCAGAACTATATATTTTAAGAATAATAAGTTCATTTTTTAAAAATGTACAGTACTTCCCCATAACTTCCAAAGCAATACTATTATAAGTTGTCTCATTGCTAGAGAATGTAACAGGAAAAAAAACAAATTAACACAACAGAAAATCGTATGCTCTTTACGTAAGCCCTAATACTTAAGTAAAACCACAATGGCTATACAATGCTTACAGGGTGGTAAATATTGAAGAAACCTTTGCATGTTGGAAATCTGTAGTTGGGATCAATCCTTTTTAGTCCTCGGACAGTAAGGAACATTCCAATGGGAGATCCAAAGGCAAAGAATATTTCTGGTTTATAGATGAGCCGAGGGTATTTCACAGACACCTCGAAGAAGGAAAATAAAACCATCTCTTATTAATAATAAAAGTTACATCTGTTTCTACCATACCAATAGCAGGTGATAAAATGATCAAAGAGAATTAGTTACCTGCCCAATGCCAACATCCAGATAGTCATCATTTCTAGTACTACTCCTACTGCAGAACTCAGATTCTTTGCCGATGTTTGCCCCTGAAGCAGACTGTGGGGCTGGTCTATTAATACCCTAAAAAATAAAAAATAGTTATGTGGAGAAACTGGACATGGCAGCATGCACCTGTAGTCCCAGCTACTGAGGATGCTGAGGGACGAGGATTGTTTAAGCCCAAGAGTCCAAGTCCAACCTGGGCAACATAGTCACTATTTAAAAAAAAAAGTTATGGGGAGCTACTATATAGTAAAAGCATAGTCAAAGGATTATATAGTTTTCTACTGGTTTGAAAGGTTGCTTGGGAAAGTTCTGAAATGGCAGCCAAAAATTCTAGGAAGATTCCCTCAGAAAACAACATTAAACCATTCCCTGAAATTGTTAACTGACATTCCTACATGCTCTAAAATGATGAAAGTTGTATACAGCCATTTCAGCAGCAGTTGAAACTTTAGGCAACAACCATAAGAGAAAACAATAGCAGGGCACTGTGGGAAGATAATGCTGAGAATCACTAGAGTTCTATTAAGCAGTGTGCCTCTGCAATCAAGGCAAGTAGGATGTCTATGGGTGTAGAATACAATACACAGACTGGGCCAAGAACTGAGTCTTAAAAAAAGGACTGAGCCACCTGTAAAAAGTTGGAAAAGAACTAACTACTGGTCGGGCATGGCGGCTTATGCCTGTATTCCCAGAACTTTGGGAGGCTGAGGTGGGCAGATCACTTGAGGTCAGGAGCTCAAGACCAGCCTGGCCAACATGGTGAAACCCCATCTCTACTAAAAATACAAAAATCATCTTGGCGTGGTGTCGTATACCTGTAATCCCAGCTACTCAGGAAGCTGAAGCAGGAGAATCACTTGAACCCAGGAGGTGGAGGTTGCAAATGAACCAAGGTTGTACAACTGCACTCCAGCCTGGGCAACAGAGCAAGCCTCTGTTCCAAAAAAAAAAAGAACTACTAAGATACAAAAAGGAATTCAGTGACCAGAAAAACCAAAGTGGAAGTACTGTTACAACATAGGTCAACTTGAGAACATTATGCTAAGTGAAAGACGCCATTCACAAAAGGCCACATATCATACAACCCCATTTATATGGAATGTCCAAAATAAGCAAATCTGTAGAAACAGAAAGTAGATTAGTGGTTAGCAGAGGCTGGGGGAAGAGCACAATGGGGGGGTGACAGCAAATGGGTATGGGGTTTCCCTGAGAGAATGGAAATGTGCTGGAATTGGACGGTGGTAATAGATACATAACTCTATGAATATACTAAAAACCATTAAATCGTAAACTTTAAAAGGGTGAATTTTATGGTATGTGATGTGGATTATGTATCAGTAAAGCTCTCATGAAAAGAAAAAAGCAAAATAAATAAATATATGGTAGGAGAATCTCAGAGGAAAGATGATTTCTGAAGCTAATAATACTTTTAAGGATATAAAAAAAGGAAGAGCCAGGAGTGGTGATTCACATCTGTAATCCCAGCACTTTGGGAGGCTGAGGCAGGTGGGTCACCTGAGGTCAGGAGTTCAAGACTAGCAGGCCAACATAGTGAAAGCCCATCTCTACTAAAAATACAAAAAGTTAGCTAGACATGGTGGTGTGTGCCTGGAATCTCAGCTACTCAAGAGGCTGAGGCAGGAGAATCCCTCGAACTCAGGAGGTGGAGGATGCAGTGAGCCAAGATTGCCCCATTGTACAATAGCCTGGGCAACAGAGTGAGACTTCATTTAAAAAAAAAAAAAGGATGTAAAAAACAAACTGTGTTTAATTTCTAAAAAGAGAGCCAAAGATTGGCCACAGGGTGCAGTGGCTCACGCCTGTAATCCAAACACTTTGGGAGGCAGAGGCAGGTGGATGACAAGGTCAGGAGTTTGAGACCAGCCTGGCCAATATGGTGAAACCCCATCTCTATGAAAAATAGAAAAATCAGCCAGGCATGGTGGCAGGCACCTGTAGTTCCAGCTACTCAGAGGCTGAGGCAGAAGAAGTGCTTGAACCTGGGAGGCAGAGGGTGCAGTGAGCTGAGATCACACCACTGTACTCATCTAGGTGACAGAGTGAGACTCCATCTCAAAAAAAAAAAAAAAAAAGAGAGAGAGCACACCAAAGATCAATTACCAAAAAACTGCTTAGCTCCCCAGAATAAACATCTTACAAAGCACAAGAATACACTATGGATATCAAAGAATTGCTTAGTCCAACAAGTTGTATTAGGTACATACCACTGAGTTTTTTCTGGTGCTGAAATAGTTTAATATCTTCTTCCTTGGTCCTAAAGGAATTCCCATTTCCTGAAGATCTCTGTCTGTACATAAAGCCTAAGCATAGAAAACCAAGTCTTTCTTATTTCTAGACAAAATAAAATCAATCCCATAGCGTAAGAGGAATAACACGTAGGCACTCTGTTGTTGCCTGTCTCTAGCAGTAAAATATCATTAATAACTTCCAGAGAAAAAGGCCCGTTTTATTCATGAAACAGCCTAAAATAGAAAATATCAATACTTATCAATGTTACAATAATACAGACAACATTGTGTTATTGTCAAAAAAAAAAAAAAAAAACCTAGAGAAGTTGGCATTCTAAGGACTTTGGGACATAAAAATCTTCCTTGATTTCTATATTGACTTAGATATCACATGCCTGACAAGAATTGTACTCCTGCTCATGAATGAAAGCACTGAGAACAAATAGCAAACACACAAGTATGGAACAGACTAACAATCAAGATCTCAAGTGTCACTCATATTTAGGGAAGACTTCCTGCACTTTCTGACACCAGGTTAATTCTTATAACATGGTGTACTTTTCCTACTTAGTTCTTATCATAATCCAATGATGTGTGTGATTCCCCACTAAACTATTAACATTATGAGGTCAGAGACCATATCTAATGTACCAGTCTATCCAGTACTTGGTATAGTAAGCTTTACTAAATATCTGTTAAATGAGTGAATGTATCACAAATCAGAAAAAGGCACAAAAAAAGTGGGAAAAAACAAACAAGCAGGCTGGGTGTGGTGGCTCACGCCTGTAATCCTACTTTGAAAGGCCAAGGCGGGCAGATATCGAGGTCAGGAGCTCGAGACCAGCTTGGCCAAGAGACCAGCTTGGCCAATATGGTAAAACCCCATCTCTACTAAAAATACAAAAATTAGCCAGGTGTGGTGGCAGGCACCTGTAATCCCAGCTACTCGGGAGGCTAAGGCAGAAGAATTGTTTGAACCCAGGAGGTGGACAGTACAGTAAGCCAAAGATCGTGCCATTGCACTCCAGCGAGGGCAACAGAGTGACACTCCATCAAAAATTAAAAAATTAAAAATAAACATGCAAATAACTGTAGAGCTCTTGAAAGTACAACAGAAAATTAGAGTTGGAATAGCTGTTAGTTTAGGTGTTTGTTCTTGCAATCATGTTTTCTGTGAGCTGTACTGGTTAGTCTGCTCCACTGCTCTACGATTATCAACATGGCCATTTGAACTGTGGACTTCCATAAAGCAGAGGTCACTTGATATGACAAAAAGCAGATAAATAACACTAAAGAACATTATTAATGATAAAGTATTTATGACTAAAAAGTATCTAAAGGGTAGGCTTTTAGTAAACATGAAGATAAACAATAAAAATACTGAAAATGGCATAAAGTTTTAAAAGATCATTTTTACCAGAGCTTCCTTATCTACTTTCTCCTTCTTAAAGATATCAAAGAATTCAGAGAGATGAAGTTTCTTCAAATCTTCCTCTATGGATGGTGTATCTCCTTGATCCATTACAATATTTAGCGAATCCTAAAATTAAATTATAAAGCTTATATTCTTGAAATTTATTTAGTTCCCTTTATTAATACTATTTTATGGTAAAGAAATACATAGATTTCCACAGCAAAGTATCTTGACTTTAAGAAACTGTCATTTATGCAAGATATAAATTAAGAGGTCCAAAGTTTTGCAACTTCAACTAAAAATATGTTTTTAAAGAAATGAGCAAAATATCATCAACAAACATTTGCTGAGTTTTAAGGGAGCTCAGTGCTTAAGAAATTAGGGAAACAGTGCTTAAGTAATAAAACAGTCAAAGACAAAAGTTCTGCTCTGGAAGAACTCATGATCCAACAGGAGAAACAGCACACTTATACAAAAAGATTTAAAAAATATAAAATAATATATGCTAAGTACCAAATCAATCCTATAGGTAACACGTAGTCATAGGACTTTTTACTAAAATAATGTTTAATCAAGTCCCCAAATACTTTTGAACAGTTTCTATAAATCATATCAATTTGTAGCCAATTCATTCATTTGTTCATAAGCAAACTTCATTTAGCTCAATGATTCTGTAACTCTATTAACAGATCAGCAGTGCTTATTGATTGACTGATTGAGACGGAGTCTCACTCTGTTGCCCAGGCTGGAGTGCAGAGGCACATGATGTCGGCTCAATGCAACCTCCGTCTCCCAGGTTCAAGCAAAAGTAGCTGGGATTACAGGTATGCACCACCATGCCTTGCTAATTTTTGTATTTTTAGTAGAGATGGGGTTTCACCATGTTGGCCAAGCTGGTCTGGAACTCCTGACCTCAGGTGATCCGCCCGCCTCGGCCTCCCAAAGTGCTGGGATTACAGGCGTGAGCCACCACGTCCAGCCAGCAGTGCATATTCACACACACAAAATAAGATACCTATGGTTATTTTAGAATATAACAATTATTATTTGTAGAAGCATATTACTATCTTGCTTCTATCATCCAAGAATGACAGAGATAATTAAAAGTCTGTTAAAATGGGTGTAAACATAATGTCATGGCACACAACTAAACTCAGCTAAAAACAAAAAATAAATCTAAAATCTATAAATCCTTACTAAAGAAAACTACATAAAAACCTATCTGAACATCTAAATTACCTTTTCACTGTCAATATCCCCCAAAGAATCTTTCTGATTTGTTAGGATATCAAACAATATAAGCGAACCTATAAGTAAAATAGAAGAAGGGACAATTTCTAAGAATTAGCACTAAATGGCTGTCTGTTATACAAAAAAGTCATAAGCCAATTACACACGTAAGCAAATCTACACAGGAAGCAGTCTTTCCTTCCAATTTACCACCACCCTTCCAACCCCTTCCAAATTTCTTGATGATAGGCTACTTCAAACCTCTGAATTTCATACTGATAAAAGACACTGTGCTTCAAAAACAGGTGTCTTCAAAATGTGACAGTCTTCTCCTGTCACAGAGAATTCATTTGTTACCTAAACTATGACCAGCAATGGATACACCCCCTTTGAAATCAGGGTTCCTCTGCAGAAAAAGTGTATATATTCGGTTCATTTCAGAAGCAACTGTGTCCACAATAGTCTGACAGTAGGTGGGGCTATTGTAGAAGAAGACATCCAGAATCGTGTCATTGGTGAAGTGCCTGAGGCGGTTAATGCTGGGCAGGGTTATTCGCTGCAGATCTCTGAAAAAAGGAAAGATAATTTAAGCAGGAATTTTAAATACATTTCATAGCCACTTGCAATTTTAAGCCTTCAAGCTTAAACATTTTATAAGAAACAATTGTCAATTCATAGGGAAAAACAAAAAGAAGATGAAGGGGCCAGGCACGGTGGCTCACACCAGCAATCCCAGCACATCGAGGTGGTTGGATCACAAGGTCAAGAGATTGAGACCATCCTGGCCAATGTGGTGAAACCCCATCTCTACTAAAAATAGCAAAAATTAGTTGGGCGTGGTGGCATGTGCCTGTAATCCCAGCTACTTGGGAGGCTGAAGCAGAAGAATTGCTTGAACCAAAAAGTCAGAGGTTGCAATGAGCCTAGATTGTGTCACTGCACTCCAGCCTGGCGACAGAGCAAGACTCAGTCTCAAAAATATAAAATAAACAGAACAAAGCAACATGTTTAATCAAGCCAGAGCGATGTGATCAGCAAAATTCAGAGTGTAAGAAACCCTGCAAGTCAAACCCATTTCTTCTATATGTTAACTGCAAGAAAACCATAGATGCAGACAGAGAGGTAATCCAAGAAATTGAGACTTTTTTTTTTAAACAGTCTTGCTCTGTTGTCCAGGCTGGAGGGCAGTGGCACAATCTTGGCTTACTGTAACTTCTGCCTCCCAGATTCAAGCAATTCTCCTGCCTCAGCCTCCCAAATAGCTGGAATTATAGGCATGTGCCACCACACCCAGCTAATTTTTGTATTTTTAGTAGTGATGGGATTTTGCCATGTTGGCCAGGCTGGTCTCAAACTCCTGACTTCAGGTGATCCACCTGCCTCAGCTTCCCAAAGTGCTGGGGTTACTGGTGTGAACCACCACACCCAGCCCAAGAGAGACTTAAAATAAAAGGCATATCAACTAATTACAATGTATGGACTTTATTTGGATTCCAGTTTAAAACAGGTGTTTGTAATTTTATAAATAGGTATATGAAAATTATAATAGATAACTGGAAATTTGAACAGTGACTAGGTATTTGATGATATTAAGACATTTTTAAGTGTGATAATAGTGTTACGGTTCTTTGTTTTTTAAGTCCTTTAAAATATACTGTTCAGGCTGGGAGCAGTGGTTCACATCTGTAATACTATCACTTTGGGAGGCGGAGGCGGGCAGATCACAAGGTCAGGAGTTCAAGAACAGCTGGCCAATATGGTGAAACCCTATTTCTACTAAAAAAATACAAAAATTAGCCAAGCATGGTGGCGCACACCTGTAGTACCAGCCACACAGGAGGCCGAGGCAGGAGAATCACTGGAACCCAGGAGGTGGAGGATGCAATGAGCCAAGATCATGCCACTGCAGTGCAGCCTGGGCAACAGAGCAAGACTCCGTCTCTAAAATAAAATAAGATAAATAAAATAAATAAATATATACTGTTCAGGCCAGGTGCTGTGGCTAACATCTGTAATCCCAGCACTTTCAGAGGCCAAGGCAAACAGATTGCTTGAGACCAGGAGTTTAAGACCAGTTTGGCCAACATGGTAAAAGCCCATTTCTACAAAAAATAGAAATATTAGCTGGGAGTGGTGCCTACAGTATTTGGGAGGCTGAGGTAGGAGAATCACCTGAGCCCGAGGAGGTCCAGGCTGCAGTGAGCTGTGATCATACCACGGCACTACAACAACAACAAAAAAAGGTACAAACTGAAACATATACAGATGAAATTACGAGATGTCTAAGATAAAAATAATATGGTGATGAAGGGGCAGTAGATAGGGTATGAAGATATGGATGAGGCAGAACCAGCCATGTGTTGAGGCTTGTTGGGGCTGGGTAATCAATACACAAGGATTCATCATATATATTACTTCTGTCAACAAAATTCTCTCTAATAAAAGAAGTTTTCTAAAAAGACAAAACAAAAAATGTAAAAGGTTTTTCCCAGAATTCTCAGCAGTAAGGTTTTTTTTTTTTTTATCACATGTCAAAAGATAAAGAGATCAGCTAGCTCCATCTCTCAATGCACAATTTCTTTTTTTTTTTTTTTGAGACGGAGTTTCACTCTTGTTACCCAGGCTGGAGTGCAATGGAGTGCGGTGAGTCTCTGCTCACCGCAACCTCCGCCTCCTGGGTTCAGGCAATTCTCCTGCCTCAGCCTCCTGAGTAGCTGGGATTACAGGCATGTCCCACCATGCCCAGCTAATTTTTTGTATTTTTAGTAGAGATGGGGTTTCACCATGTTGACCAGGATGGTCTCGATCTCTTCACCTCGTGATCCACCCGCCTCGGCCTCCCAAAGTGCTGGGATTACAGGCTTGAGCCACCGCGCCCGGCCCAATGCACAATTTCTAAATGCAGAAAAAGGTGTGAATACCATGTGCTAAAAGCAAACAGAACTCATATCTGTCAGAGGAAGACTATGCTGACAAAATCTAAATCAACATCCAGTTAAAGGTTTCTTAAAATTCCCAGAAAGATTCCTCATGTACTCAACTGCTTCTGCAATTTATAAGGGCTGTGTGCCCTTAGTAACCTCTTAGCATCTGCTCAAATATTAAAGAATTCAAACTCCACCACAGTGAAGTGTTTGGCAAATGGAATATACTCAAATCATAGGGTACTGAGAACTGAGAGACACAGAATCAGAAAACTCATTTCCAAGACCAGCATGGAAACAATGCTACTTCCTGCATCTCCTGGTTCTATTCTAGAACTATATTAGAAACATACTACTTGCTGGAGGACCCATAGCTAGATATCCTCAATTTAAGCAACCTTCTCTGTCATTACCATAAAATTTACAAACAAAACTACAGGCTTGTACCTTAGGAAAGCTATCACTTAAAAGTCACTGTACCAATTAGAGCTCAAGTTTTAAATGCTAATAGTTTAATATTTGAGAATTCCTTTTTTCTAAATTTGGACAAATACTATTTAAATATAATAACAGCCTTCCCAGGTGGCTAGTGAAGATGGTAGAGGTGCAGGTCCTGGTGCTTGATGGTCGAAACCATCTCCTGGGCCGCCTGGAGGCCATCATGGGTAAGCAGGTACTGCTGGGCAGGAAGGTGGTGGTCGTATGCTGTGAGGGCATCAACATTTCTAGAAATTTCTACAGAAATGAGTTGAAGTATCTGGCTTTCCTCTGCAAGCAGATGAACACCAACCCTTTCCAAGGCCCCTACCACTTCCAGGCCCCTAGCCGCATCTTCTGGCCAACAGTGCAAGGCATGCTTTCCCAGAAGACCAAGGGAGGCCAGGCCACCCTGGACTGCCTTAAGGTTTGATGGCATCCCACTGCCCTACGATGAGAAAAAGCGGATGGTGGTTCCTGCTGCCCTCAAGGTTGTGTGCCTGAAGCCTACAAGAAAGTTTGCCTATCTGGGGCGGCAAGCTTATGAGATTGGCTGGAAGTACCAGGCAGTGACAGCCACCCTGGAGGAGAAGAGAAAGGAGAAGGCCAAGATCCATTACCAGAAGAAGAAACAGCTCAGGAGGCTATAGAAACAGGCCGAGAAGAACGTGGAGAAGAAAACTGACAAACACACAGAGGTCCTCAAGATCCATGGACTCCTGCTCTGAGCCCAATAAAGACTGTTAATTCCTCAAATAAATAAATAAAATAGATCAATAAATAAATATAATGACAAAAGGAACAAAAAAATACTTTGTACATCTTAGGGTATGGTTGGCTTTTGACATCAGATGGAAATGGTCATATGCTATGAGAAGATAGCAATATTTGGCTTTAATGCTAAAGACACAATAAAGCTATAATAGTAAATATTAGTGAGCCAGTACACACCGAAGATACACACAGCTCTCTACTCCTAACCAGGGCTAATTAAACCAAGGGACTGATCAACATTTAAGAGCATATCTGTAAGAAATTTTAAATATTCAGTCAACTGTGGCATAAAAATGTCCCTAAGCATAGCAATAATCAGAAAATACAATCACAGCTAACAACTCAAAGTTATAAAGTATTACTCACACATCCACACCAGTAGAATGCAAAGGACTGTGCCAGTTGACTGGAAGAAATTCTACCCTCCCAATCTGCTGATTTTCTTGGGCTTTCTTAAAATGTGTCTGTAGCAAGTTCAAGGAAACACTGCGAAAATCATTAACTGGAAAAGAAAATTAATTTATGCATCCACAATGAAGTACAAATCTGTAGAATTAGGATGTAACAAGTCATGTAGTTATACTCTAACTATATTTGCATAGAACACATATTAACGTCCATCAAAAATAAAGTGGTATTCAGGAAAAATTATAAATGCATACAGGAAAAGATGTTTCTTTAACAACTTTTTTTTTTTGAGATGGAGTACTGCTCTGTCACCCACTGGAGTGCAGTGGTGAGACGTCGCCTCACTGTAGCCTCCACTTCCCAGGTTTGAGCAATTATCCTGCCTCAGCCTCCACAGTAGCCGGGATTACAGGTGCATACCACCACGCCCAGCTAATTTTTGTATTTTTAGTAGAGATGGGGTTTTGCCATATTGGCCAGGCTGGTCTTGAACTCCTGACCTCAGGTGATCTGCCTCGACATCCCAAAGTGCTGGGGTTACAGGCGTAAGCCACCGCGTCCGGTCTAACTACTTGCTTTTACCACATAAAATATTTCATCAAAAGAAGGCTAACTTCAGGCTGAGAGGAGTGGCTCATGCCTTGTAATCCCAGCACTTTGGGAGGCTGAGGTAAGCAGATCATATGAGGCCAGGAGTTCGAGACCAGCCTGGCTAACATGGCAAAACCCTCATCTACTATACAAACAAAAATTAGCTAGGCATGGTGGCAGGCACCTGTAATCGCAGCTACTTGGGAAACTGAGGCAGGAGAATTGCTTGAACCTGGGAGGCAGACGTTGCAGTGAGCTGAGATTATGCCACTACACTCCAGCCTGGGTGACAGAGCAAGATCTCTGTCTCAGGAAGAAGAAAGTATATTTATTTAAAAAAAAAAAAAAAAAAGGCTGGCTGGGTACAGAGGCTCACACCTGTAATCCCAGCACTTTGGGAGGACAAGGTGGGCAAATCGCCTGAGGTCAAGAGTTCAAGACCAGCCTGACCAACATGGAGAAACCCCATCTCTACTAAAATATAAAATTAGCCAGGTGTGGTAGTGCCCACCTGTAATCCCAGCTACTCAGGAGGCTGAAGCAGGAGAATCACTTAACCTAGGAGGCAAAGGTTGGGGTGGGCCAAGATCACTCTACTGCACTCCAGCCTGAGCAATAAGAGTGAAACTCTGGGCAAGGCGCGGTGGCTCACGCCTGTAATCCCAGCACTTTGGGAGGCCAAGGTGAGTGGATCACGAGGTCAAGAGATCGAGACCATCCTGGTCAACATGGTGAAACCCCATCTCTACTAAAAATACAAAAAATTAGCTGGGCTTGGTGGTGCATGCCTGTAATCCCAGCTACTCGGGAGGCCGAGGCAGGAGAATCAGAATTGCCTGAACCCAGGAGGCGGAGGTTGCGGTGAGCTGAGATCGCGCCATTGCACTCCAGCCTGGGTAACAACAGCAAAACTCCGTCTCAAAAAAAAAAAAGAGAGTGAAACTCTGTCTCAAAAAACAAAAAGGAAAGGGAAAAAAAAAAGGAGGCTAACTTCAAAACATGAGCATCATGGGAACGGTTTCCATTTTTTTTTAAATCACATGACCATACATCAACAGTCTTGCAGTTGAATTCCTATCCTTACTTTCTGGTTCTTATGAATAAGCACCATCCAATACTTTAAAGAAAAAAATACGCTGCTGTTTGAAATTCATATCAATCTCAACCTTCCACAACACTAGTTTATGTTTAGGACCATTAGCCAGTAGAATAAGACACCCTAATTGGAACAATTAAACTTTGAATACTATCAGGTTTTAGAGGACACCTTTCAAAATCTAGCTATACTGATGACTTAAATCCCCCAACTGCAGTATCAAGAGGTTTATCACAGTTTGAATTACAAAATGATTGAAGCTTCTGTTATTTATTAAATCCTATCATCTTTATGGTTCCCTTTAAACTCGAAATAGGTAGAAATAGGACCATCATATCATAAAATAACTTTATAGGGATTAAGTGCTTGTTCATTCAAGAATATTATAAGAGTATAAACTATTAGCCTTAGGAAATTCCTAGCACTTCAGGTCTAAGCTGAGAAGCTTTACTACCTTGCCAACTGTCTTTAACTCAAAATCTTCTTATGCAGCTAAGACAATAGACCAAAGACAAGGCTTTACCTCAGCTCACAAGAGTAAGGATTAAATTCTCCTTAAATGATCTAATCTCACATGCTTTGCAAACCTACCACACTGTACAATGCTTCGGAAGCGGAGATCACAAGCTGGTCCAATTCCATGTACTACAAAAACCAAGTGATCTATTTGTAAAGGTTCTCCTATAAATGAAATTAAAAAGAAAATTATTCTGTATAGTCATGTATTCTAGTATCATTCACTATGAAAAGATTATAAATATGAGCAAGTTAAAATATGAACACATAATTTAAAAGATACAAAATAGTCCTTTAAGTACTTAGCAAAAATACACTGATTTTACTTGGTTTCTAATGTATCTTGAAATAAGTCTGTAAAATTTTTTTCAGGTTTTTTTCTTTTTTCTGATCTCTGAAAAAGAAACTCATTTTTATTTTCAGGTTTTAAAAACTTTTTTGGTTTTTTAAGAAGAGATCTCACGCTGTTGCCCAGGCTGGAGTGCAGTTGTGCAATCACCACTCACTGCAGCCTCAAACTTGTGGGTTCAAGTGATCCTCTTGCCTCAGCCTCCCAAGTAGCTGAGACTACATACAGATGTGTGCTAGCATGCCCAGTTAATTTTGTATTTTTTGTAGAGACGGGGTTTCTTTTTTTTTTTTCTTGCATGTCACATGGCAGAGACAGGGTTTCACCATATCACCCAGGCTGTTCTTGAACTCCTGGGCTCAAGTGATCCTTCTACCTTGGCATCCCCAACTGCTGGGATTACAAGCATGAGCCACCATGCCCAGCCAGGTTTGTAAAAGTTTTTTATATGCCAGGTGCAGTGGCTCACACCTGTAATCCCAGCACTTTGAGAGATCAAGGCTGGCAAATCATGAGGTCAGGAGTTCGAGACCAGGCTGGCCAATATAGTGAAGCCCTGTCTTTACTAAAATTATAAAAAATTAGCTGGGTGTGGTGGTGGGCATCTGTAATCCCAGCTACTTGGGAGGTTGAGGCGGGACAATCGCTTGAACCTGGGAGGCGGAGGTTGCAGTGAGCTGAGATCGTGCCACTGCACTCCAGCCTGGGTGACAATATAAGATTCCATCTCAAAAAAATAAATAAATAAATAAAAATAACACAAAAAGAACTTTTTACTTTTGAGTAACTGCAAATACATCACCAGGCTGCATACACCACACCTCTTTAACCCTTTAATATCGTACCGTGTATTTCCTAAGTGTATTCTCTTACATAATCACAGTACAGTTATTGAATCCAGGCAACTGAACACTGATAAAATACTTTTATCTAATATTTCACTTTTATCAATGTCTGATGTTTTTAAAGCCTGAAGTTTTTTATACATATATATATATATATATATATACACACACACACACACACACACACATATTTTTTTTTAATTGCACTTTTGGTTCTGGGGTACATGTGCAGAACACTAAAGCCTGAAATCTTAAACTCTTTTTTTTTTTTTGAGATAGAGTCACTCTCTGTCCCCAGGTCGCCAGGCTGGAGTGGGAGTGCAAGTGACGCGATCTCAACTCACTGCAACCTCTGCCTCCCAGGTTCAAGTGATTCTCCTGCCTCGGCCTCCTGAGAAGCTGGGACTACAGGCATGTGCCACCACGCCCAGCTGATTTTTGCATTTTTAGTAGAGACAGGGTTTCACCAAGTTGGCCAGGATGGTCTTGATCTCTTGACCTCGTGATCCATCCACCTCGGCCTCCCAAAGTGCTGGGATTACAGGCACAAGTCACCTCGACCGGCCTAAACTCATCTTTTTAAATTACAGTAAAGCTACGATTTTGTCTAAGAGACAAGTCATCTCCTCTCCAAAAAAAAAAAGGAATTTTATAATTCAATTAAATATATTATAAAACCATAAATGATCCCACCTACATGGCAGTGGACAATCAGGTCCTACTGAAAAATGGTTTTCCTTAGCTGAAAATCTTCAAGGACAAGGAGTTACCCAGAATGAAATTTCTAGTCAAATAAGTGGAATCACACTTCCTAGAATTAGGACTAAATCAGTTCATCTGTATTTAGTGACTTCCTGGGTAGTATTGCCAAATTTTACCCATCCTACCATACGTACTGAGCAGCTTTGAAAGAGATTTTTACATCTATTATGATTCTTAGTAAATGAAGTGATGCTAATCTCAACTTGGAATAAACCCATATGATTAAAGATTATTTTTAAGCCTTGAGGTAATCCAAATCCACAGAAAAACATCACAATTTAAGGAGTAAACAAATATATCAGAAGATAAGAAAAAATAAATGATTAACATTACCACAATGAATGTCAACAGAGATGTTCTCAACTCCTCTCTTCACAGTTCTTGGTCGACCTTGCTCTGTGGGCGTTGAACCCCATTCATCAGACCCTGCAACTGGCTGGTAATGCACCATAAGCTTAAACAGAACAGACCAGAGCAATAAAGATATTCTACAATACAGTCATCTCTACACAATGCATTTTTAAGTGTAGAATAATGTCTTTCAAACCATACAGTCAAATCTGAACTGGAGTTTTGATATACAACTCATACAGCTTGAAATTCAAACCCTGAAAATATATTAGGCTAACAGATCTGTCAATAATACCCTTCTACACAGAAGACACACTCACATAATATGTCAGTGATTTTCTTATTCTACAGTGGCATAATTTCCCTAAGAAAATTATTTTGTATAAGTTGAGTTGGGTAAATAACAGTAGTGGCTACAAGTTTTTAAGTTTCATAACTGTGAATTCAATATAAAATTTGATAAACATTATCCGACATAGAGTGTTTAGTAAAATAAACCAATTTAGTTCTCCCTAATAGTGCAATTAACTTTTTATCCCAACAAAAGAAATGCTTTGTTTTACCTTTGGATTGTGTAAAATAATAATTTCTCTGTTGGGAGATTCCAGTTTCTTTTTCCATTCATCCAAAGTTACAGCAAGCATGTAAGTTTCCTTAAAAGAAAACACATTTCATTAGAGTTTTCTAATAACCTTCCTATTAAAACCAAACTTATTCACAAGACTACTACTTTATTAACAAGTTTCAATAAGAATATCATACTCCAATTCATCAAGTTTATTTTTAAATTCTTTTGAACTTACAACAGATAGTATAGCACCAGGACGAAGGGGAAAAAAAACACTCCTAATTCCACCTTCTACCACTAGATAATTACTGTTCCCATTTTAATATATTTGTTAATATTAATGTTCTAGATTGGGTGTGGTTGCTCATGCCTATAATCCCAACACTTTGGGAGGTCAAGGTGGGAGGATCACCTGAGGTCAGGCATTTGAGACCAGCCTGGCCAACATGGCAAAACCCCATCTCTACCAAAAATACAAAAATTTGCCAGTGTGGTGAGGTGCACCTGTAACCCCCAGCTACTTGGGGGGTGAGGCAGGAAAACTGCTTGAACCCAGGAGGCAGAGGTTACAGTGAGCAGAGATCACAGCACTGGACTCCAGCCTGGGCAACATGGTAAGACTCTGTCTCAAAAAGAAAAAAAGACCAGGAGGCTGAGGCAGGAGAATTGCCTGAACCCAGGAGGCGGAGGTTGTGATGAGCCGAGATCGCGCCATTGCACTCCAGCCTGGGTAACGAGCGAAACTCTGTCTCCAAAAAAAAAAAAAAAAAAAAGAAAGCAAATATTAATGTTCTACTCCAATTTAAAGGAAAAATTTCAGTTTTCAGAGGAAGAAAAACAAAAGCTAAAAAAGATAATCCTGTGACCATAAGTTTAAATATTAACAATGGACATTAGGGGAAAATATTAAAATTTAAATAAAAGACATAATATAGTTTGCATTTTGTGCTTATGCGTATGTGTGCACCTTTTTTGTTTTTTTTTTAGTGGTGGGGTCTTGCTTTGTTGCCCAGTGTTCAAACTCCTGGGCTCAAGGGATCCTCTTTCCTCGGCCTCCCAAAGTGCTGGGATTACAGGCGAGAGCCACCGTGCCCACCAGTATTTTTTTTTTAACTCCTTAAAACACCACAATCATTTCCGTCATATTTTAAATATGAAAAAGGCCCGGCATAGTGGCTCAAGCCTGTAATCCCAGCACTTTCAGAGGCCAGCAGATCATTTGAGGTCCAGAGTTCGAGACCGGCCTAGCCAACCTGGCGAAACCCCATCTCTAATAAAAAACAAAACAAATTAGCCAGGTGTGGTGGCAGACACCTATAATCCCGGCTACTTGGGAGGCTGAGGCAAGAGAATCACTTGAATCCAGGAGGCGGAGGTTGCAGTGAGCCAAGATCACGCCATTGCTCTCCAGCCTGGGCAATAGAGCAAGACTCCATCTCAAAAAACAAAACGAAACATAATCTGAAAATAAGACTACCTTATTCTGAAACTTGCTTGTAAATAGAAATGCTTTATTATATTTTATAATGTGATGCAGACAGAACCAAACGCTTTCTAGAAATTTCACAAAATAAGTTACAAGAGAAAGAAAAGATTATTAAATAAGAGAAGGGAAAAAATGATGGGTAAAAAAAGAGTCAAAGGAATACCTCTAAAACTTGGCTGAAGCTCTCCGAGTAGGGAACATACTTATTGTCTTTGTCCCCCTTGTAAAACCATGTACATCGTCTCACTTCCGATGCTAGTTCATCCCAGTATACAGCATACCGCATCCTCTCCCCTAAATGAACATCATATCTGCCCCCATCAGTAGGAACAACTCTCCCATTACAATCTTTTCCTATTAAGGATTGAAAAGAGGAAAAGAAGTCCATATTTCAAAATAAATCTCCTAACATACAATTCTGACTTATACGCTAAATAATGTTATGAAACACATGAATAAACAGTTTCTACTTGGCTAAACACCAAACAAAATAAAATTTAATTCTTATCTTTTTCACTACCTACTTTACAAACCATCAAAATCATTCCTGATTTTAATGAAACATGAAAAAAAAATACTTCCTTTTCTGAGGAAAGACAGCAGTGTTCCTTTAAAAAAAAAAGTATATAATGTGAATTTTCTGAATGTTTTTGCTTGAGGAACCATAAGGTAAATTAATAACCATCATGATGATTCAGAATAACTAGAATTATTCTTGTTTTATAAAAGTGACAAGTTAGAGAGTTCATTCCTCTGCACTGTGATTCCCCCAACCCCTTGCCCACAACATACACATACTTTATTTTTTTCTTTTGAGACAAGTTTCACTGTGTCATCCAGGCTGGAGTGTAGTGGCACAATCTTGGCTCACAGCAACCTCCACCTCCCGGGTTCAAGCGATTCTTCTGCCTCAGCCTCCAAGCAGCTGAGACTATCGGCACATACCACCATGCCTGGCTAATTTTTGTATTTTCAGTAGAGAAGGGGTTTCACCATGTTGGCCAGGATGGTCTCGATATCCTGACCTCAAGTGATCTGCCTGCCTTGGCCTCCCAAAGTGCTGGGATTACAGGCGTGAGCTACTGCACCCAGCCTTACACATTCTTAATAAAATAATCTAAAACATAAGTTAGAACATTAAAGATATTATTATTGGGGGGCCAGGAACAGGGTGTTAACACACTTGCAATCCCAGAAGGACTGCTTGAGCCTAGGATTTCAAGACCAGCCTGGACAATATAATTAGACGACCACCTCTAAGAAAAAAAAAATTATTGGATAACTATGCAGAAATAATAGATATTGTTTTCAAAATACAGACCGAATTCTTGAATATTATTGATTGGCTAGGTACTAGTACAGAAGTTCTATATAAAATGCTGTAAGAAATTATTTAACTAGAAGAATCTAAAATTTAGTTTTCACAGTACTCAATACAAGGACCATTATATTATAGTTTGAAGAGGGAAAAGTCTTTGTCTATTCCAGGTCATAATTTTCACCTACCAGAGCTATATGCCTCTTCTAGCTGCTGTGAATCCTCAGAGTTGAAAGGAATCCATGTCTCCTTAGAATCTATTATCTTACAATAAAACCAATGGGGAGAAACTGGTTCATACAAGCTGCCAGCATCCATGTCTATTAGCTCAAAGGAACTACATGAGTTTGGTGACGGGGATGGATCTGACTGGGACAACTGCTCCTGTTGTGATTGCACTGATGACATTTCGCTCTCTAAAGACAAAAAAAAAACTATCAGGAAAATGATCTTCTCTTAACTGTGTAACTGTTGACCCACATACACATGCACAAAACTAATTTTATGGAGCCATTTCTGCAACAACAAAAAAATCTACATAATTTAAAAGAGAAATAACAATTTAACAGCTGGATGGGGGGGAGCTTTAAATAAAATGCTTCCATTAGATCAACCACTGCACGAGTTCCAAATACCCTCGGAAAACTATGGTTTTACTCAGTCTGTAAGTTATAAAACAAACCCAGAATCACAGGACTCCCTGCTCGAAACCTGATGGCAACAAAAACATTTCACCCCAATTTCCAATCTAAATGTAGTTAAAGGCAGAAAATTTACTTCAACGAAGTCAGCTGGGTCATGCGCTGTGCTAACAACGCCTGGGTTTTGGCCTCCAGGCCCCTATCATTATACGACTAATGGAATCTTAAAATACGGAAAATAAAACTCATCGCTTAGGAACTAATTATTTTTGACTGATGCTTGAAGTCGCTTAATGGGCGGTGGTACAAATTCCGAAAAGATGAAACCTCGCCCCGGGCCACGGCGCGCACGCGCACGCCCACTCGCATCGCCCGAGTCTCAGGAGAAAGGTACCAAGCGACCTCAAAAGCCTCCTCCCACGGAGGCGGCTGTGACCAGCTGTTTCTGCATCTCCAACACCCCTTCCACTCGGCAATGACCAGCGCCGCAGGCACCAGAAGGGCACTTCTAAGCTGCCCTGTGGGGCGGGAGTCAGGAGGGCATCTCGCGCGTGCCCGAGGGACTGCAGACGCCGGCGTTCGGCCCCACAGTCCTTTCGCACCTACCCACCCCTAGCCCCACAGACGTACCTCAGGCACCTTGGCGCCTCCCTGACCCTCGTGACCCTAGGCCCTGGCGCCCCGCTCCGGATCTTCGGAGCTCCGTCTCAGGTCGCCCGCCCGCAGCCCCGCGACAGCAGCAGGGACGCCAAATGTAGACCACAGGGTTCACAGGGTTTCCCCGGGCTCGGGGCTTCCCAGGAGCTGGGGTCCCCCCGCCCCGCATCGCCGGCACCCGGCCGGGCCTCCCTCGGCCCAGCAGACCGCCGGACGTGGACTCACCTGGCGGCCCAGCCGCTCCTTACGCCCTCCTGCCCTAGCTGATGGGGGCACGGCATGGCCCGGCCGCGGCCTTTACCCAAGCCCGGGCGGGGCGCGGCGGAGCAGGGCGGAGCCTGCGGCCCCGCCGGGCTCGTGCAGAACACACGGCACCACTGCGCTCCCAGCGGGCGTAGCGGGTCCGACTGCCGGGCGAAAAGGTAAAGCAACTAACAGCGTGGCGCGCGAGCGCCGGTCGGGTGCGCAGGGCCTCGGGGCACTGGCAGCAAGTGTCGCGAGAGGTGGAGAGGAGTCGCGCGAGACGTGGCTCCTCCTGCGGGCAGGGAGGTCCAGTACCGGACGGCTGGCGGTGGACCCTCACTTAGAGGGTGTGGCTCAGTTCTAACCGCGAGGAAGAGTTTTGAGTTTCCGTGGTGGAAGGGGGCTTCGAGATCAGTTTTGAGTGTCCGTGGCGGAAAGGGCTTGGAAGCAGCCAGTCACGTATGTGGGGCGGGAAAGTCGACCTGATCTCGGGATACGCTGCAGACCCTACTAGTGCGCCAGGAGCGGCGCAGGGACGCCGCGGCCCTAAGAGCAGCCGCCCCGCTCCCGGCCTCCATTTCTGGGGGCTGAGGAACAGGTGTCACTGGCGTTTGCCAGGAAAAAAGGCTTTGGGAGCTGAGGAACAGGTGTCACTGGAGTTTGCCAGGAAAAAAGACTTTGGCCCCTCCTCCGTGCAATTATTATGATTTAGAGGTCACCGAAAAGGAATCCCTAAAAAATGTAGAGGTACCAGGCGTGGTGTCAGCGCCTTGCTCAGAGCTACTTAGGAGGCTGAGGCTGGAGGACCGCTCGAGCAGGTTGGTGGATGCTGCATGAGCCCAGATGGCACCACTGCACTCCAGCCTGGGTAACACTTCCACTCGTCTCTAAACAAACAAAAGTAATAATTTTTTTTTTCTTTTTCTCATGTAGAGGCGAGCTTAACAGGATTTAAAAGATGCCAGGAAGTTGGGAGGCGAGGTACTGTTGCCCAAACAGGAAGACATAACAGGTGAAAACTTGAAAGGGGCCGGGTGCAGTGGCTCATGCCTGTAATCCCAACACCTTGGGAGGTCAGAGTGGGTGGATCACTTGAGGCCAGGAGTTCAAGAGGAGCCTGGCCAACATGGTGAAACGCCATCTCTACTAAAAATACAAAAATTAGTCTGTTTTGGCGGCACGTGCCTGTAATTCCAGTTACTCGGGAGGCTGAAGTGGGAGAATCGCTTGAACCCGGAAGACAGAGATTGCAGTAAACCAAAATCATGGCCACTGCACTCCAGCCTGGGTGACAGAGAGAGACTTCATCTCAAAAGGAGCCGAATGCGGTGGCTCATGCCTATAATCCCAGCACTTTGGGAGGCCAAGGCGGGTGGATCACAAGATCAGGAGTTCCAGACCAGCCTGGCCAATATGGTGAAACCCTGTCTCTACTAAAAATGCAAAAATTAGCCGGGTGGCACGCGCCTGTAGTCCCAGCTACTCGGGAGGCTGAGGCGGAAGAATCACTTGAACCCAGGCGGAGGTTGCAGTGAGCCGTGATTGTGCCACTGCACTCCAACTTGGCGACAGAGTAAGGCTCCATCTCAAAAAAATAAAATAAAAATTAGCTGGGCGTGGTATTTCGGTTTTTTCTTCAAAAACAGAAAAAGAAAACAAATTTTTTTGTTTTTTGGTTTTTGGTTTTTTTTTGAGACGGAGTTTCGCTGTTGTTACCCAGACTGGAGTGCAATGGCACAATCTCGGCTCACCGTAACCTCCGCCTTCTGGGTTCAAGCAATTCTCCTGCCTCAGCCTCCCAGGTAGCTGGGACTACAGGCCCGCACCACCATGCCCAGCTAATTTTTGTATTTTTAGTAGAGACGGGGTTTCACCTTGTTGACCAGGATGGTCTCAATCTCTTAAACTCGTGATCCACACACCTCGGCCTCCCAAAGTGCTGGGATTTTAGGCATGAGCCACCACTCCCGGCCCGAAAACAAATTTTTATAACAAATTTATTTTCTCTACAACTTAACGGCCACACATAAATATCCCCAAGTTAACTTATACCTTCCCTTTAAATTTATGACATGTAAAATAGCTTCTGCAAGGCCGGTGCAGTGGCTAACGCCTGTAATCTCAACACTTGGGGAGGCCCAGGCAGGCCTGTTTACCAAGGGGTGGAGCTAAAATCATGAGCCCACACAGTGTGACTTCAGACTCTGCACCTAAATAACTGGCCTAAAATCAGTCAGGTAAGTGACAGAACTGGAACTTGAATTTAGGTTCTCTATCTTCAAATCCTGCTGTAGCCTCTATACCAGCTTTGGGGGTATAGAGGCAATTTGGCGGGCTGTCTCAAAAAAAGTGGATTGCAATGTATAGTCTGAAAATATTGTAAACTTTTCATATTCTGATACCATTAAAATCCATTGGTCTGTCTTGCACTTTGTTTTGAGTAAAGTGAAAGCAAGTTTATTAAGAAAATAAGAGTAGGGCCGGGCACAGTGGCTCAAGCCTGTAATCCCAGCACTTTGGGAGGCCGAGGCAGGTGGATCACTAGGTCAAGAGATCGAGACCATCCTGATCAACAGGGTGAAATCCCGTCTCTACTAAAATACAAAAAAAATTAGCTGGGCATGGTGGCACGTGCCTGTAGTCCTAGCTACTCGGGAGGCTGAGGCAGGAGAATTGCCTGAACCCAGGAGGCAGAGGTTGCGGTGAGCCAAGATCGCGCCATTGCACTCCAGCCTGGGTAACAAGAGTGAAACTCTGTCTCAAAAAAAAAAAAAAAAAGAAAGTAAAAGAGTAAAAGAATGGCTCTGCCAAGATAGGCAGAGCAGCCTATCTTGCACTTTGAATGGATCTTTTACCCATATGTGACTTATATTGGTCATCTGGGAAAATATCAGTTCACTGAGATATGCAGATCTTCCAAATGTTAATATATTTTATTATACCTTTTTTTCTTTTTTTTTTTGAGACAGAGTCTTGCTCTGTCGCCCAGTGGCATGATCTCAGCTCACTGCAACCTCCGCCTCCTGGGTTAAAGCGATTCTCCTGCCTCAGCTTCCTGAGTGGCTGGGATTACAGGCACACAAGACCATGCCCAGCTAATTTTTGTATTTTTAGTAGAGATGGGGTTTCACCATGTTGACCAACCTGGTCTTGAACTCCTGACCTCATGATCCGCCTGCCTTGGCCTCCCAATGTGCTTGGATTACAGGTGTGAGCCACAACGCCCAGCCTTATAGTTTTTTTTTTTTTAATTACCGATCTCAGAAAAATCTTTAATGTTGGGAAGCTGTCAAGCTCAGAGTAGCAGGTACAAGTTTTCCAATATTCTGCTTTTTTCTTGAAAGATCAAATTGTATCATTGGCAACAAAGGATAAATTGTCTTCCTTGAAGTGACAAGCCTCTTTTGTTTTCAAGTAAAGTTCTGCCAAATACTTATATACAAATAGCCATAGTTTGTCCATTGTACTTTCAAATAAAAATGATGGCTGAGCGCAGTGGCTCACATCTATAATCCCAGCACTTTAGGAGGCCGAGGCAGGCGGATCACAAGTTCGAGACCAGCCTAACCAACATGGTGAAACCCTGTCTCTACTAAAAATAGAAAAATTAGACGAGCGTGGTGACATGTGCCTATAATCCCAGCTACTCAGGAGGCTGAGGCAGGAGAATCACTTGAACCCAGGAGGCAGAGGTTGCAGTGAGCCAAGGTACTGCCACTGCACTACAGCCTGGGCAACAGTGAGACTGTCTCAGGAAAAAAAAAAAATGTTGCATGAAAAAAGAGCATCTGTTGCAGCTTCCAATTCAAATAATCACTCAAGTTTGTTTTCTTCAAGAGACCACCATCTTACTTTTGGTATTTAACAAAATGGTTTTATGGGCCGCAGTGGCTTATGCCTGTAATCAGGCACTTTGGGAAGCTGAGTTGGGCAGATTGCTAAGTCCAGAAGTTTGAGACCAGTCTGAGCAATATGACGATACCCATCTCACCCGTCTCTAAAAACAAACAAACAAAAACATTAGCTGAGCATGGTGGTACAGACCTGTAGTCCCAACTACTCAGGATGGGAGAAGAGCTTGAGCCCAGGAAGGGGAGGTTGCAGTGAGCCGTAATCAATGTCACTGTACTCCAGGATAGGCAACAGAGCCTGACCCTGTCTGAAAAACAACAGGTTTTATTCATACTAACCAGTTTGTCACACAGAATATGAAAAAGATGTAAACTAATGAGTTAAGAGTTAACAAGCCAGGCGCTGTGGCACGTGCCTGTAGTCCCAGCTACTCAGGAGGCTGAGGCTGGAGGATCGCTTGAGTCCAGGAGTTCTGGGCTATAGTGCGCTATGCTGATTGGTGTCCACACTAAGTCTGGCATCAGTGTGGTGACCAACCAGAAGCAGGGCACCACCAGGTTGCCTAAGGAGGGGTGAACCGGCCCAGGTCAGAAACGGAGCAGGTCAAAACTCCTGTGCTGATCAGTAGTGGGATCGTGCCTGTGAATAACCACTGCACTCCATCCTGGGCAACATAGCGAGACCCTGTCTCTTAAAAAAAAAAAGGGTTGGCTGGGCGCGGTGGCTCAAGCCTGTAATCCCAGCACTTTGGGAGGCCAAGGCGGGTGGATCACGAGGTCAAGAGATCGAGACCATCCTGGTCAACATGGTGAAACCCCATCTCTACTAAAAATACAAAAAATTAGCTGGGCACGTTGGCACATGCCTGTAATCCCAGCTACTCAGGAGGCTGAAGCAGGAGAATTGCCTGAACCCAGGAGGCGGAGGTTGCAATGAGCCGAGATCGCGCCATTGCACTCCAGCCTGGGTAACGAGCGAAACTCAAAAGGGTTAACAAAAGTAATAATTTTTACTGAAAAAATATGAAGGCTATTCTTAAGCAAAACTGGCACTATTATCATTAATGCATGGCAGTCAAGAATACTGACAGTGTAATTTATTTCTACTGCTTTAATTCATGTTAGGATGTCAGCACTCTTAGCATTGCTTTTATGTGAATAGTCAAATGTCAACCCAGAAAAAATGCAAATCATGTCTTAGTATTATGATGAAAATAGTTTCAGGCCAGGCACAGTGGCTCACACCTGTAATCCCAGCACTTTGGGAGGCTGAGGCAGGCGGATCACTTGAGGTCAGGAGTCTGAGACCAGCCTGGCCAACTAAAAATATAAAAATTTTAGGGAAACCCCATCTCTACTAAAAATATAAAAGTAGCTGGGCGTGGTGGTGGGCAACTGTAATCACAGCTACTTGGGAGGCTGTGGCAGAATTGCTTCGAGGCAGAAGTTCCAGTGAGCCAAGAATGTGCCACTGCACTCTAGCCTGGGCAACCTCTGCCTCCCAGGTTCAAGTGATTCTCCTGCCTTAGCCTCCCAAATAGTTGGGACTACAAGCACCCACCACTATGCCTGGCTAATTTTTATATTTTTAGTAGAGACAGGGTTTCACTATGTTGGCCGGGCTGGTCTCAAACTCCTGACCTCATGATCCACCCACCTTGGCCTCCCAAAGTGCTGGGATTACAGGCCTGAGCCACCACACCCAGCCACACCTTGTTAATTTTTTGTTTGTTTGTTTTATACCTGGTTAATTTTTAAATTTTTTGTAGAGACAGGGTCTCACTACATTGTACAGTCTGGTCTTGAACTCCTGGACTCAAGTCATCCACCCACTTCAGTCTCCTAAAATGCTGGGATCTGCATTTTAAATAGTTATCTCACATGATCTGGATGCAAGTATTTGGAATCCACATAGTATAAATTTTAGGTTCCTCAATAGTCTGCGTAGATAGGTAGTTTCAGGCAAATAGAATATCTTACTGTGCCCCTTAAAAATAAAAATATGGCCAGGCACGATGACTCACACCTGTAATCCCAGCACTTTGGGAGGCCACGATCAGGAGGTCAAGAGATTGAGACCATCCTGGCCAACATGGTGAAACCCCGTCTCTACTAAAAATACAAAAATTAGCTGGGCATGGTGGCGTGTGCCTGTAGTCCCAGCTACTTGGGAGGCTGAGGCAGGAGGATTGCTTGACTTCAGGAGGCAGAAGTTGCAGTGAGTCAAGATCATGCCAGCCTGGCAACAGAGAGAGACTCCGTCTCAAAAATAAAAATAATTTTTAAACCCACTTAATTTTACTGGCTATGGTTTGTGGTTGTATATCAGCCTTTTACCAGAAAGCCTTAATGGTAAAATGTAAAACAGTCTCTACTTTTTCCCTTTCAATGTTCTAGTGCAATAGGCAGCAAACTTTTTTTCTGTAAAGGGCCAGATAACTTCTTTAGGTTCTGTAGGCCATAAGGCTCTGTCACAACTAATCACTTCTCCTGTTGCAGCACTAAAGCAACCAGAGAGGAGCTGTAAACTGAGGAGTGTGGCTGTGTCCCAGTAAAGTTGTATTTACAAAAGCAGGCAGGCGTTTAATTTTATCTCAGGGAGTAGTTTGCTGACCCCATGCTCCTAGTGCAGAAAATAATGCTAATGGCCAGTGAGTTGTCTAAAGAGCAAAAGGTAATCCCAGCACTTTGGGAGGCCCGAGGCGGGTGGATCACGAGGTCAAGAGATCGAGACCATCTTGGTCAACAAGGTGAAACCCCGTCTCTACTAAAAAAAAAATACAAAAATTAGCTGGGCATGGTGGTGCACGCCTATAGTCCCAGCTACTCGGAAGGCTGAGGCAGGAGAATTGCTTGAACCCAGAAGGTGGAGGTTGCGGTGAGCCGAGATCGTGCCATTGCACTCCAGTCTGGGTAACAACAGCGAAACTCCTCCAACTCAAAAAAAAAAAAAAAAGAGCAAAAGCAAGAATGTAGGGGTCATAAACAACTGGATCTTATATCCAAAGCTGGAATCATTGTTTTTGGAGGCAGAACTCCTCAATCCCAGATGGACACCTAGGCATCCAGAGTGAAGAAAACTTCACAGTTGTCTCTGATGCTGATTATAAAATCAGCTTTGGGCTCTGACAGTTATTTTCAAGCTTTCACCGATCACTGCAGCTTCGACCTCCCAGGCTCAAATGATCTTGCCACCTCAGCCTTCCAAGTAGCTGAGACCACAGGTATACACCACCATATCCAGCGATTATTTTTTTATTTGTAGAGACAGGGTCTTCCTATGTTGCCCAGGCTGGTCTCCAACTCCTGGGCTCAAGCGATCCTCTCACTTTGGCCTCCCAAAGTGCTGGGATTACAGGCATGAGCCACCATGCCCAGCCCTAAATAGGTTCTTAAAATGTAGATTTTCAGGTACAACACCATCTGAAATGTAGATTCAGAAAAGTAAAACATTTTCAGAATCCAACAAGATTCTGATTGACTAAAACATTTAATCAGAGGCGTCCATATTGTGATGGTTAATTTTAGATGTCAGCTTGATTAGATTTAGGAATACCTAGAGAACTGGTAAAACATTACTTCTGGGCATGTCTGTGATGTGTCTGTGAGGCTGTTTCCAGAAGAGACCTCTCTGAGGGGGCAGAAGATGTGAAGATAAATTTGTGTCCCGTGTGAATCCTCCCCAAAGGGTGACCTCAGCAGAAGAGGATTTTAATAACCAAGTAGAAAGGATGACCTATTCTGTGGGTACTAGTCAGCCTCTGGCCCCTGCCACCCCTGTCATTGCCCAGTCACCCATCATTGCTCATGAAGAAATTGGCCATGGCAGCAGGCATAAATGTCTTGCATGGCTCAGCAACATGGACTCCCACTCACCAAGGCTGTCCTGGCTATGGCTACCTCCGAGTGCTCAATCTGACAGTAACAAAGACCAGCGCTGAGCCCGATCGTGGCACCATTACTTGGAGTGATCAGCCAGCCACCCAGTGGCAGGCTGATTACACTGATGGCTTTCATCACAGAAGAAGCAATGTTTTGTTCTTACTGGAATAGACACTGGATAGGATTTGCTTTCCCTGCTCATAATGCTTCTGCCAAAACCATCATCCTTAGATTTACAGAATGCTTATCCACTGTCATCGTATTCTATACAGCAGTGCTCTGACCCAGGAACTCACTTCACAGCCAAGGAAGTGTAGCAATGGGCTCATGCTCATGGAATTCACTGGTCTTGCCATGTTCCCCACCATCCTGAAGCAGCTGGCTTGACAGAGTGGTGAAATGGTCTTTTGAAATCACAGTTACAGCACCAGCTAGGTGGTAATACTTGGCAGGATTGGAACAATCTGTAGGTGCTCTGAATCGGCATCCAACATATGGAACTGTTTTTCCCATAGCCAGGATTCATGTGTCCAGGAATCAAGGGGCGGAAATGGGAGTGGCACCACTCACCATCCCTAGTGACCCACTAGCAAAATTTTTGCTGCCTATTCCCAAGATTTTATGCTCTGCTGGCCTAAAGGTCTTAGTTCCACAAGGAGAAATGCTGCCACCAGGAGCCGCAATAATGATTCCACTGAACTGGAAATTACGACTGACACCCAGCCACTTTGGGCTTCTCATGCATCTGAGTCAAAAGGCCAAGAAGTGAATTACTATGTTGGCTGGGGTGACTGATCCAGACTACCAAGGAGAAATTGGCCAACTACCCCCAGTGAAGGTAAGGAAGAGTAAGTGTGCAATACAAGAGATGGCTTAGGGCATGTCTCAGTACTACCATGCTCCGCAACTAAGGTCAGTAGAAAACTACAACAACCCAATCTAGGCAGGACCACAAATGGCCCAGATTCTTCAGGAATGGAGGTTTGGGTCACCCTGCCAGGTAAGAACTACAACAACCAGCTAAGGTGCTTGCTGAAGGCAAAGGGAATACAGAGTAAGGATTTTAGCTGGTATTTATAACTGACTTATTCTACAAATGGGTAGTAGAAGTTATAAATACCAACTAAAACCATGTTACAGAAACAAAGAGTGTTTCATTAAGAAGCAGTCTCATATAGGCTGGGTGTGGTGGCTCATGCCTGTAATCCTAACACTTGGAGGCCAAATCAGATCACTTGAGGCCAGGAGTTCAAGACCAGTCTGGCCAACATGGCAAAACCCTGTCTCTACTAAAAAAAAAAAGAAGCCTGGTGTGGTGGCACACACCTGTAATCCAAGCTAGTAGGGAGGCTGGGGCAGGAAAATCACTGGAACCTGGGAGGTAGAGGTTGCAGTCCGCCAAGATCATGCCACTGTAATTCGGCCTGGGTGATAGACTAAGACCATGTATATTAGCCTGTTCTCATACTGCTCATAAAACATACTGGAGACTGGGTAATTTATAAAGGAAAGCAGTTTAATTGACTCACAGTTCAGCATGGCTGGGGAGGCCTCAGAAAACTTCCCATTGCGGCAGAAGGGGAAGCAAATACATCTTATTTACATGGCAGCAGCAAAAAGTGCCAAGCAAAAGGAGTAAAAGCCCCATACAGAACCATCAGATGTTGTGAGAATTTGCTATCACAAGGGTAACTGCCCCCATGATTCAATTACCTCCCACCGGGTCCCTCTTACAACACATAAAAATTATGGGAACCACAATTCAAGATTTGGGTGACTACACAGCCAAAACATATTGCCCTGTCTCAAAAAAAAGTCATATGTATATATTTATTTATATATACACACACACATATACACTTTTTTTTTTTTAGGCTAGTCAAGTAAAGCAGTGGGTGTGGAGAAGGAACAAAGAAATCCATAACTGGTGGTGATCAATCAGTTGTAAACACCACTGCCCTCAGACCAGCCTACACTTTATTTTTTGAGACAGAATCTCACTCTGTCACCCAGGCTGCAGTGTAGTAGCATGATCACAGCTCAATGCAGACTTGACCTCCTGGGCACAAGAGATCCTCCCACCTCAGCCTCCCAAAGTGCTGGGAGTACAGGCGTGAGCCACTGTACCCAGCCTGCACGCATATATTGAGCAAATATCTGTTTTCTTTCCTTATTTCTTTATAATACAACATAAGGTATATTGACTTTACATCAATATTTAAGTATTGCTAATTTTACATCATAGTATTTAAGTTATGGGATATCAGGAGAAGAGTAAACATCACCCAAGAACTTCACCTCTTCTAGGGATGGAATTAATGCATTTCTGATTGTACATGGGATAGTTGCATCATGGTAGGCAGAAATAATACCTAGCTATTATCTTTATTTTGAGATTAAATATAGGTTTAAAGAGATGCATATGGGTGCCAAGTTGATAGGAGGTGAACTTGTGATGCTTAATTTTAGGTATCAACTTGACCGGATTAAGGAATACCTATAGAACGTGAAACATCACTTCTGGGTGTGTTCATAAGGGAGGATGTTTCTGGAGGAGATTGGAATGTGAGTCTGTGCACTGGGTGGAGAAGATCAGTGTGGGAAGGCACCATCCCATCAGCTAGGGTCTCAGAACAGAGAAGACAGAGAAAAGGGCCAGGCTCAGTGGCTCATACCTGTAATCCCAGCACTTTGGGAGGCTGAGGTGGGTGGAGCATGAGGTCAGGAGTTTGAGACCAGCCTGACCAACATGGTGAAACCCTGTCTCTACTAAATACAAAAATTAGCTGGGTGTAGTGGCGCGTGCCTGTAATCCCAGCTACTCAAGAGACTGAGGCAAGAGAATTGCTTAAACCTGGGAGGCAGAGAGTGCAATGAGGCGAGATGGCACCACTGCACTCCAGCCTGGACAAGAGCGAGACTCCGTCTCAAACAAAAAGAGAGAAAAGGCAATTTCTTAATTTCTTCTCTTTCTCTTCTGGAGCTTGAGACACTCTTCTGACCTGGACATTAGAACTCCAGGCTTGCCAGGCTTTGGACTCCAGGACGTGCACCAGCAGTCTCATGTGTTCTTGGGCCTTTGGCCTCCGATAGAATTACACCATTGGCGTCCCTGGTTCTGAGGCTTTCACACTTGGATAGAGTCACACTACTGGCATCCCCGGGTCTCCAGCTTGCAGATGGCCTGGCCTGGGACTTCTCAGCCTCCATAATCACATAAGCTAATTCCCTAATAAATCCCCTGTCATCTATCTATACTATTAGTCCTGTCTCTCTGGAGAACTCTGATTAATAAAATGAATCTATACTTTAATCAAGAATATGCAGGCTACAGCTGTGAGGCAAGATGCTTTGAATCAGGAAACAAGAAGACTTAAGGTATAATTTCAGCTCTACCCCTTGCTAATAACGTAAGAATGTTAGAATTAGAAGAAACATTAGTGACATCCAGAGTGATGTTATCTTCCAGCCCAAACTCAGTGGTCTTTATAAGCTCATAAACCAGTCATGAAAATGCATTTTGTTACTTTACAGCCACAACTGAAAACCTCCTGCCCTCAATGTGAATAATTTCTCTTAGACATTTCACTTTGAGGAAAGTGGCAAATCAGCAAATGAAAAGACGTTCAAAATCATTAACCATTAGAGAAATGCAACTTAAACCAATGACATAGCAAAACACAACTATCATTATGTACAAAATAAAAAATAATGACAATACCAAATACTGGCAAGGATACAGCGAATCTCATATATTGCCTGTGAGAATGTAAAATGGTCTAGCCACTACAGAAAGATTTGGCAGTTTCTTTAAAGATTGTATGTATAGATGGGTGTGGTGGCTGACTCCTGTAATCCCAGCACTTTGGGAGGCCAAGGCGGGTGGATCAACGAGGTCAGGAGATCGAGACCATTCTGGCCAACATGGTGAAACCCCGTCTCTACTAAAAATACAAAAAATTAGCTGGGCATGTTGGTGCACACCTGTAGTCCCAGCTACTTGGGAGGCTGAGGTAGGAGAATTGCTTGAACCCAGGAGGCGGAGATTGCAGTGAGCTGAGATCATGCCACTGCACTACAGCCTAGGTGACAGTGCAAGACTGTGTCTCAAAAAAAAAAGATTATATGTGCAACTAAAATATGACCTAGAATTGCACTCCTAGGCATTATTTCATTTTGTAAAAAATAAAAACTTTCCCAACATTTTTTTGAGACAGAGTCTTACTCTGTCACCAGGCTGGAGTACAGTGGCACAATCTCAACTTACTGCAACCTCTGACTCCCTGGCTCAAGTGATTCTCCTACCTCGTAGCAGGGGATTACAGGCATGTGCCATCATGTCCAGCTAATTTTTGTATTTTTAGTAGAGACAGGGTTTCATCACGTTGGCCAGGATGGTCTTGATCTCCTGATCTTGTGATCTGTCCACCTTGGCCTCCCAAAGTGCTGGGATTACAAGCATGAGCCACCGGTACCCGGCCAAGAAATAAAAATTTATATGAACACAAAAACCTGTACAAGAATGTACACAGAAGCTTCATTCAATAGCCAAAACCTGGAAACAACCCACATGTCCTTCAACAGGTGGATGCTTTAATTATAGCACATCCATTATATAGCAATAATCAAAAAACAATTGGCTGCACACAGTGGCTCATGCCTGTAATCTCAGTATATTGGAGGCCAGGATGGGAGGATCCTTGAGCCCAGGAGTTTGAGACCAGCCTGGGCAACATAGTGAGGCCACCAAATCTGTAAAAAAAATTAGCCAGGAGTAGTGGTGCACACCTGTAGTCCCAGCTATTCGGGAAGATGAGGCGGGAGCATCACTTGACCCCAGAAGTTCAAGACCACCCTGGGCAACATGGTGAGATATCAAGCCTACAAAAAAAAGTGAAAAATTAGCCAGGAGTGGTGGTGCACGCCCGTAGTCCTGCCTATTCTGGAGGCTGTGGTGGGAGGACTAATTGGGCCCAAGAGGTCAAGTCTGCAGTGAGCTGAGATCACAACATGGCATTCCAGCTGGGATGACAGAGCAAGACTATCTCAAAAAAAAAAAAAAAGAAAAAGAAAAAAGATTTATACAGAAAACAACTTGGATGAATCTCTACAGAATTGTGCTGATCGAAAAAAAAAAAAAAAGCCAGTCTCTAAAGGCTTACATACTGTATGACTCTACTTATGTAACATTCCTATAATGACAAAATTTAGAAATGAAGAACAGATTAGTAGTTGCCAGGGTTTTAGTGTGGGGGGAGAAGGGAATCATGTAGTTATAAAAAGGTCAACAGGAGAGATAAACGGCAGTGATGGAACTCTGTATCTTCATTACATCAATTTCAGTATCCTGGTTGTAAGTTTGCAGTAAAATTTTACATTTTACCCACCGAGGGAAATTGGGTAAAGGGTACATGAAATCTCCGTAGTACTATTTTATTTATTTATTTATTTTTGGGACAGTTGCCCAGGCTGGAGGGCAGTGTCACAATCATGACTCTGTAACCTTGCACTCCTGGGCTTAAATGATACTCCTTCCAGTCTCCTGAGTAGCTGGGACTACAGGGACATGCCATGTAATGCCTGGCTAATTTTTTAATTGTTTTGTACAGATGGGGTCTCACTATGTTGCTCACACATGTAAGTCACTGTACCTGCCTCTGTATTATTTTGTAAGAGTGCATGTAAATCTACAAGTACCTCAAAATAAAAACTGTAATTTAAAAAATACTGCGAGGTGCAGTGGCTCACACCTGTAATTCCAGGACTTTGGGAGGCTGAGGTGAGTGAATTCCTTGAGTTCAAGAATTCGAGACCAGCCAGGGTAACATGGCAAAACCTGTCTCTACAAAAAAGTACAAAAATTAGCCAGACATGGCGGCATGCACCTGTAGTCCCAGTCACTTACACAATTGAGGAGGGAGGATTGCTTGAGCCTTCGAGGTGGAGCTTGCAGTGAATTGAGATCATGCCACTGCACTACAGCCTGGGTCATAGAGCGAGATTCTGTCTCAAACAAACAAACAAACAAACAAAATAGTACTCCTAGTTTAATTTGAATTTCACATAAACAAATCATCTTTTAGTCTAAGTATTTTCCAAACATTGCTTGGATCATATTGATACTAAAAATGATTGTCTGAAATTCAAGTTTAACTGGGAATTCTGTATTTCATCTGTCAATTCTACTCTTGGCCTTAGCAAAATAAAAGGACATTTAAGGATTGGCTGAGAGAAAATGTGCCATGATCCCAGAAGCACCTAAATACTCTCTCAGCTGTTTCATTTCTATCTCCTACTTCATCATGACAAATGTGGTCACTACTCCCCATGAGAAAAGCCAGAGTGTAAAACCTTCCTGTTTTCACACAAGAGTGAAATTCATGCAGATAGCCTCCTCTTCCCAATTTCAGATTTAAAATACCTTAAAATATACTTAAAATCTGCTCCAAGAAAGATTATAAAAAAGTAAACAGAACAGTCAAGAAACATTTTCTAAAGATAATTTTGGTACCTGTAATGCCAGAACTTTGGGAGGCTGAAGCGGGAGGATCATTTGAAGCCAGGAATTCGAGCCAGCCCAACCAATATGACAAAACCCTGTCTCTACTAAAAATACAAAAATTAGGTGGGCACGATGTCACATGCCTGTAATCCCAACTAAGAACGAAGCTGAGGCACAAGAAATGCTTGAACCCAGGAGGTGGAGGTTGCAGTGAGCCAAGATTGCACCACTATATTCCAGCCTGGGTGATATAGAAGGACTGTGTCTCAAAAAAAATAAAATAATAAAAATAATTTTGGGTTTCCAGGGCAATAAAACCATATTTCAAAGAATACAAAGCTAGGCATGGTGCCTTATGCCTGGAATCCCAGTGCTTTGAGAGGCTGAGATGGGAGGACCGCTTGAGCCCAGGAGTTCAAGACCAGCCTGGGCAACAGGGCGAAACCTCATCTCTATAAAAAATAGAAAAATTAGCTGGGTGTGATAGTGCGTGGCTGTAGTTCCAGCTACTCAGCAGGATAAGGTGCGATCGATTGGGCCTGGGACATTGAGGCTGAAGCAAGCTAGGATCACACCATCGCATTCTAGCCTGGGCTACGGTGTAAAATCCTGTCTCCAAAATAATACAGAAATACATTTTGTAAAAACTCAATTCAAGCTGGTTGAGGTGGTCCATGCCTGTGGTCCCAGCTACTCAGGAGGCTAAGGCGGGAGGATCATTTGAGCCCAGGAGTTTAAAGCCCAGCAAGGCTCTGTCTCTAAAAACAAAATTTTTTGATTAATAAAAGAAAAACTCAATTCAAAGTGGTTACCTTTAGAGAAGGAAAAATGGGAGTGGGATCAGGTGAATGCTGCTTTCACAGAACTGACTTTTTAAACTCCTAACTTCTATGAATTGAGGTAAACTCCTTTTTTTTAAAGTAAAGTTGTAAAAGAAAAGCTCCATCAACTATCCATCCCCAAAAAACTTTTTATTTAATGCCCATTTAATCTACATTCTTTTTTTTTTTTTTTGAGACAGTCTTGCTGTGTTGTCAGGAGCCAGGCTGGAGTGCAGTGGCAC